GTCTTTGACGTTGTGGAGGCATTTTCATAGAGTAACAGTGACTTAAACGATGTCAGATGTAAAGACAATGCCCAAATTCAAATCAACGACAAGCACTCAGAAATGTGAAAAATGTGGGTACCATGCTTCACGTGCTACTCATGATCATTGCAGCATGCATTTCCCTACCTAACCTGTGTTTTGAGGCTCAAGAGGGGTCAGTCCAACATTGTGATGAAATTTGCGTGTCATATCAATTCATATATTGATTTTATAATGTAAGAACTATATGATCCTTATCAAACTTTGAGTAGTATATATAACAATTAGAACAATATATCCTTTCCCACTTTTTCCTAGCATTCATAGCCGTTCTGCAATCATCGGTATATCAAGGCGTATGTACACGTGGATTTGTCGAGGTGCTTTGATGAAGGCGGATGAAACAAAGAATCAGTGGATTTGTATTTTGACACCGCATATTCGTTATACTATGAGTAACATTGATAAAAAATTAGGTCCTTTGCGTTTCTATCTAATTCATTTTCACTAACAAACAAAAGCTGCATAGCCCTTGCCACATTCATACGAATATCTCCATATTCAATATAGTTATATTCATGGGTCCTCTAAATGCAACATGGATAAAAACCAGACATGTATATATTAATTTACTGTTACACTTGTAAAATAATTTCTATATACAGTATCCAGCTTGGGCCCATGCAGGGAGGAAAAGCAATAGCCCATTTTTATACTGTACTGTTAAAGTGTTTATGGTTATATGTTTTTAGTGTACATTTGTGATAGACTAGTTATTTTACTGTCTTTCGCAGACAGATAAATTTTTTTATATATATAATGCACACATTAAAATTTAAATTTCCAAGGTTAGTTTCAGCGACTGGAAACTACCGGAAACCAACAAAGTTAGTTTCCAGAATCGGAAATTTAAAGTAAAGTCACATTGGTAGTTTCCATTTCATAAAGCAGCTGGAAACCATCATTGATGGGAACGTCAATGAAACGAACGTAGAGGAAATTACTCCATATATACCAGTATGTACAGCATATAACCGACATTAACCTACGCTAAACTGTCTATGTATTCCATGTATATAAGTTTAGTGATCTGTGTTTTTGTACACCAGAATTCAAATAAAAGATACTGTCACATGAAAGAAGAATAATTTCAGGAAAAGTTAAGCCATATTACGGAAGCTTAAGCTTCTACTTTGTCTCCTTAACGGTTTGTTAGGTACACTCACAGATGCCTTAAACTTTTAAATTACTGAAGCCGATAAGGCTCCATTAGGTTTCAGTTACCCATTGGCTTTCCATTTGTTTTTCTCAAAGTGATACTACTAATACAACTAACTGGGAGTGGTTATGCACATAACACGGCGGGTGAAACAAAGAATCAGTGGATTTGTATTTTGACACCGCATATTCGTTATACTAAGATTAAAATTGATCAAGAATTAGGTCATGTGCGTTTCTATCTAATTCAGTTTCACTAACAAACAGAAGCTGCAAAGCCCTTGCCACATTCATAAGAATATCTCCATATTCAATATAGTTATATTCATGGGTCCTCTAAATGCAACATGGATAAAAACCAGACATGTATATATTAATTTACTGTTACACTTGTAAAATAATTTCTATATACAGTATCCAGCTTGGGCCCATGCAGGGAGGAAAAGCAATAGCCCATTTTTATACTGTACTGTTAAAGTGTTTATGGTTATATGTTTTTAGTGTACATTTGTGATAGACTAGTTATTTTACTGTCTTTCGCAGACAGATAAATTTTTTTATATATATAATGCACACATTAAAATTTAAATTTCCAAGGTTAGTTTCAGCGACTGGAAACTACCGGAAACCAACAAAGTTAGTTTCCAGAATCGGAAATTTAAAGTAAAGTCACATTGGTAGTTTCCATTTCATAAAGCAGCTGGAAACCATCATTGATGGGAACGTCAATGAAACGAACGTAGAGGAAATTACTCCATATATACCAGTATGTACAGCATATAACCGACATTAACCTACGCTAAACTGTCTATGTATTCCATGTATATAAGTTTAGTGATCTGTGTTTTGTACACCAGAATTCAAATAAAAGATACTGTCACATGAAAGAAGAATAATTTCAGGAAAAGTTAAAAGTTATATTACGGAAGCTTAAGCTTCTACTTTGTCTCCTTAACGGTTTGTTAGGTACACTCACAGATGCCTTAAACTTTTAAATTACTGAAGCCGATAAGGCTCCATTAGGTTTCAGTTACCCATTGGCTTTCCATTTGTTTTTCTCAAAGTGATACTACTAATACAACTAACTGGGAGTGGTTATGCACATAACACGGCGGGTGAAACAAAGAATCAGTGGATTTGTATTTTGACACCGCATATTCGTTATACTAAGATTAAAATTGATCAAGAATTAGGTCATGTGCGTTTCTATCTAATTCAGTTTCACTAACAAACAGAAGCTGCAAAGCCCTTGCCACATTCATAAGAATATCTCCATATTCAATATAGTTATATTCATGGGTTGTCCAAATGCAACATGGATAAAAACCAGAAATGTCATTGTCACTTCATCGACCTTAAAGCAAACGTAACAAAACTTGACACACATCGCTACCATGCATATACTGAACCGCAAAAGAAACGCAAGTTACTATTTTCAAAACATACGTTCCAAATGCATTCCTTTTAGGACAACAAAGTATACCATTATAGAACCAGGCATTCGAAGATGGTTTTGCCGTTGTTGCCGCTGATTCTTGACCATATCGCCCAAACGCAATCATTTTTATGTTTTTCGTGTTTTTTGCATGAAGTTTTTGTGTTTCACACAAAAATGCGTGTATTTCACTCCAGTTTGAAGCTTTATAAGGCAGGTCATTCAAAAAACACCATAGAACACAAAATTGACTGTGACAACGCGGAGAAAACATCCCACGTCTAACTGAACAGCAACGATAAATCGCCGTTGGAATGTTGCAGACCGGATCCACACCAACTAAAGTGGCCAGGCACTTCAGATGTCACGTGACAACAATCACAAGACTATCTGCAAGGCATCGTCAAACCGGTAATGTTCCAGACCGACCACGTTCAGGACGTCCCAGGGTAACAACGCCAGCGCAAGATCGTCACATCCGGGTTACTCATCTGCGTAACCGACAGCAACGAGCAACACAGACAGCTGCAACCATTCAAGGGCCACAACGTCACATCTCTGCAGACACTGTTCGTCGTCGTCTGAGGGCAGCATGGATCAGATGTCGCCGTCCTTACGTCGGACCGATTCTGACGCAACGTCACCGCCAAAATCGTTTACAGTGGGCGCGACAACACCAGCGTTGGCGACGTCAACAATGGCAACAACTGTTGTTTTCTGATGAGTCCAGATTCAACTTGTCCCACGCCGATGGCCGATTACGTGTATGGAGACGACGTAATGAACGTTACGCCAACTGTTGTGCTGTGGAAGATGACCGCTGGGGAGGTGGAAGACTCATGGTACGGAGTGGCTTCAGCTACCACCACAGAACACGTTTACACGTGTTTCGTCAACGTGTGACTGCTGTAGTCTACAGAGACCAGGTCTTTCAACACCACGTTGTACCGCTCTTCCAGGCCCAACCTCAGCTCCAGGCGTTCCAGCAGGACAATGCTCGTCCTCACACTGCACGGGTCTCTATGGACTTCCTCAGAGGGAACAACATTGCTGTACTGCCCTGTCCCTCTCTGTCCCCGGATATGGCACCAATCGAGCATGTGTGGGATGAAATTGGTACACGGATACAGACAGCTGCTCAACCTCAAAACCTTAGAGATTTGGAAGCCAGATTGGTCAGGGAATGGAATCAAATTCCCCAAGCCTTCTTTCAGACACTTGTTGACTCGATGAGACGTCGTTGTGCTGCCTGCATTGCAGCCAATGGTGGTCACACGCGCTACTGATTGACACACTGTTTCGTGACATTTTTGGTGTGTGAGGGTGGAGTGATAACATATGCTTTTACAGTAAACTTGAGTGTTGTTTTCACCAGAGATCACGACTCATTTCTTCAACAATCACTTGTCTGTTGTTTTTTTCGTAGTGTTAAGATTGTTTGTTCCACAGATTCAGAAATATTGACATTTCTAAATCAACTTGCGTTTCTTTTGCGGTTCAGTATAAACAAAACGCATTGATTTATGGTCCGAGTTCGGTCTCTGTCACATTATGTAATTACACAGACAGGCAGATGTGAAACTTAAACACATGACATGTTATGATGTCTGTTGATTGCAAAATGCTATACACAAAAAATGAGCATGTATTTACAAAGACCAACATCTCTATCTATACACACACAATGAGCCGTGAGGGCGTCTGCAAATGAACCAGCCGTTACACTTGAGTGCACACCCATCCGCTCTGACTGGGTTCGGTATTCCGGCTGCTTCGTTTCTTGGGAAGTAAACCCAAGTACACAATATTGCACTTTTGATTTGCGATTGTACGCTTATAATTTTGTTTATATGTTTTTTCATAACCAGCAAGGTATATTATATGTCATGAATAAGTGATAAATGTGTTTTAATTATGTTTGATATTTTGGTTGCATGTGACCTTTAAGCTTTCCGGATTTTTAAACGTATTACTTATCATCTTTTAAACTTCGGCTAATTGTTTCCTGCAATCGCCAGCAGCTGAAAGGACGGTGTAATTCCAACTAGGGTCGATCCATGCAGGTAGCAAAAGCACTACAAGTCCCCATGGTCCCAAGTATGGTGATCTACATTCAGTTGCATTGGCGATCAATAGCCCATTTTCACATTGCATTGTCCAAAATAGTTTTCTACTTGCCGAGGTGACGTTACATTTTAACTTTCTCACTCACTCTTTGGTGACATGCTGTTCTAAAAGCGTCATAATTGGGTGACTTTGTCCATTCCTTTTGCATTTGATCATGCTTTGTGACAACAACCCATGAATTACACAAAATAAATGAGTGTCATTTGCTTGCACCGTTTGACACTACCACTACCATTTTAATCGTATGGATGAACTCACAGTCGTCGCCACGTAGATAAAGCCTGATGTGTTGTATCTTCTCTAGAACTGAAGTGTTCAGGTTCACAGTCCAGGTGGGATTTGTCTCAATCATTGTATGAGCACATGTCAATGGAGAGCGATGGGCATCTGTTGTGGCTCTGCCGTCAACACCCAGTCCTGCTCCATAATCGTTTGCATTATTGTATAGATTACTACTCTGACTACACGAGCTTCGCAGAGCAATATTTTCTGAAAACAGGAACACAACATAAGCATGACAAGTGGAATGAACACATACTAGTGACACGTTGACATGGCAATACCTATATGCATCTTCCTATACTCTAGTTTCTGACAGTACAGACCAAACCATCCCCTCTGACACATGTCCTCACCATCCATCTGACTACAGGGAGTTGAGAGGAACGTGTCACAGAGCTCTGTGGTACTGCAGTGACAATGGATATCTGTTTGAAAAACATAGTTCTCCTTGTTACTTGGCATATTTAAAGCTCCATGCAGGTAGCAAAAGTAATGTAAGTCCCCATGGTTACTAGTATGGTGATCTACCTTCAGATGCTGGCGATCTATAGCTGTGTTTTATATTATATTGTCTTCTGTAATTACACTGATTTAGTTTTAACATGCTAGTTTTATGTTCATATCTGTGATACTCTAGTATTTGTACTGCACATCTTTGACAGGTTTAACAGTTGACAATGTTTTCATTTTTGTATTGTATGAATTGTTTTCGTCACGATATGGCTGAGATATTGCCGATGTGACGTTAAATATTAACTCACTCACTCACTCATATTTATAGGTTTGCTTGAGAACATAGTGGTAGGATTCGTGTGAGTCAGGTATGATTTATAGTCACATCGGCAATATTTCAGCCATATCGTGGATGGGATTCGAGGATAGCAAAGTATTTGTGATTCAAGACTACAAATCTGCATATAGTTACACTTGTTTTACATTTCGTGAATAACGTCCCTACAAATGAGGGCCGGGGTGACACAGACCACAAGCAGTCCCACCCAGCACCATTCCATGTTGGATATCTAAAACAGAGGCAAAGAAAGTGAAACTTTCCTGGTCATAGTCTCCTGACAACAAATATATTAACATGAGGGTCAGCATTTCATAAAACTTTGTAATTTTAGTGAATCCAAATGATATCAAAACAGGATTTGTGATACCTTTCAAGGCGCGGACATGTAGTCGGGATGCGATTGATCTAAATAATAAGAGTGCCAATTTCGTAAATATCAAGATGTTTGAATGACCGAAAGTTCACAGTACTTCACGTATGCCAATAACAATTGCCATCTTATCTCTTACCATAACTGTAATGAAACAATCCCAATTGTTAAGTTGATATTTTACATTAGATATCAACAAAACATTAGGAAAATAGCTCTCACCATAGCCTTCCCCGAGTATTCACCGGACAGCCCACTTCCAAGTTGCGCGAACCTATTTCACTGCGCACGTGCTATGAGCGCAGCCCAGCTGTTGAAACCAGTTTTCCCCCGAAAAGTCGGGGGAACATTAGTGAATCGTTTGAACTCCGATTTCGCGCGGGTTTTTTCATCGCGTTATTTTTCAACTTTATAAGTTGAATTTGCATTTTTGATGATTTGTTTCGGTAAGTCCATACCGAAAGGTAGCAGAATCTGCAAAGTTGTGGTTTACGTTGCATGTGACCTTTAAACTTAACTTTGAAAGTTTTGGGACTAAAGTACCCTCTCATGAGTACAATAATTTTACTTTACTTTAACCTCCTGTGAGGATACAGCCAATAACATTCACAGTTGCTAATTTATACTACAATGTTTAAAATACATTTATCTATTTACAAAACATATTATTCAAAATGTATCTAATAATTCTATTTCCTTTAAACAATCAATTATTAAATTATAATTAACATTATGAAAAAGATCTTTGACTGTTTTGACATTGAAATATTTATCCCTTGTGATGGAAAAGCGTGTCACAAATGAAACATGTGAGAACAAAACATATTTATAATGAAACAAAATGCTTACAGAATGCTATGTAGTTCACATTGTTGTAATTCGTTAGCTACTTGGGGTACTTACAAAGTAGCACTATTGTTACGAAAAAACCAAGAGACTGAAATGAAAAATAGCCTCGTAATACCGAACGAATGACTTACAGACTGAGTGAATTAAACAGATGGATAACATAAACCCTTAAGTGTTTCAAACTGAGAATCAACGACAATCACTCTGTCATTATGCCTGCTTGATAATAACAGGTCACAATGATTACACAAGCCACGTTCAAATAGTTTCTGATTAATGATTTTCAAATTCCAAACCAATCTTTTTTCTTGTTTTAATTTAATGTACAGTCATATTATACTAGATAGACATCTATTCATCTATTTTGGGAATTAACAAATCAATTTAAATTCACTTGTTAAATCAGTAATGGATACAGCAGCTTACACATTTCACACTGTGTCCTATCGCTATTTCTCATACGAAAAGGCAAAGTCATGTGCTCACAGTTTTGCATATAGTATTAACTATAAGGGCAAAGAAGACACGTAAACTTCCGAATTGAAACAAAAGCTAACCAATAGTTCAGTATCTGTATCTTGTCCATGTACATGCTTATATCTTATAAAGTGTTTTCATAACAAGAGATGACAATCTGTCCAGAACAGCAGCATTTCACAGTCCCTGCTTTCAATGAAATACCATGTGATATTTTTGTTGACTTAGTTTTCTTTGCATGTACATGATATGCTTTAGAAATACTTCATGGTAATCTTGTACTTTAGCCGTGTGATTTCTTCAGATCCTTAAGATGAACTGATGAAGTCGGTAGGTTTCCCATGCCCTTTTAATATGAACCACGATCCCCAGGTTCATAAGTTTTAAGAAATCTCGTTTAAAAAATCTCACCTATGTCTTACAATTCGTGCATTTGTACAGAATCCAAGTAATCTATCATTGTAAAACCAGATATATTTTTAAAAAATCAAACTACAAACCTCGGAATTAAAAATGATAACGAATCTTTAGTGCACTGATACACTGGATGTGAAGCCTCATAAGTTTTAACTTTTACCAACTTGAGTTTATATGCATCATGTCCCTGGTCAAACGGTTGAGATTCTCTGCTTATCATATGTGTCTTTCATCTGTGCAGTTCAGGAGAAGGCAACGGCATGGAGATACTTGTGGGCAACCAGATGTGCTACAGCTGGTCGTCTACTGAACATCCCCCTCCTATAGCTAACGTCACCTGCCGCCAGCCACTGACAGGAACCACGGTCACTATACGGATACCTGGTCCACTGAAATTCCTTACTTTGTGTGAAGTGCAGATATTTGGTATGTCATGGCTATGTGGATTTACATAGTTGGATATGTTGTTCATTGGTATGAACTAGAAAAGGTTTCACTATGGATACATGTATTATCTATCGGGCTGTTGAAACATATTAAATTTGAATGGATATTGCAGCGATGAGCTAAACATTTTGCACCCATCTTTAGGACTCTTAACATTAAGTATAATCCTGTTATTACTTAAATTCAATGCCCAGTGAGGTTTTCTTTATTAAATTGTTCATCTTTTCAACAACAATGAAAATTGTATCTATCAATCAACTGTATTCATTCAGTAGAGTATACCACAGGCCTATGATACAATAGCAAAACTGGAGTCGACGTCTCACGGTGCCTGTTTGATTCTAATCCACATTACTATGTATATACCAATGGTAAGCTTTTTGACCATGCATTCGTTCGTGTACGCCATTAATAGATTGACTTGGTGTTATCCAAATTTTCACACAAATGGTAATATTTGAACGTACTGAATCGTCTTTGTAGGTCATACATGGTGTCATGGTTGTTCGTCTGTGTCCTATGAAAGAGATACCTTGCGCTGAGAATGTGGGTTGGAATAACGGATGGGACTCAACACACAACAACACTAAAATGTGTACTTTGTTTAGAAATTTTAATCTCAAATATAACATATGTTATGTTACATTTAACCACTTCCTGAAAGAAAATATGTATTCATGTTTGAAGTGGCGCATATGTTTTATCAAGGTTTTAGGGTATAAATGCATTACATACAGTTCTACATTATGTATATGGTGACTTTATCTGAAAATGTCAAACAATTATCAGTTTGCAGTGATGGGTGGTTTTCTGAAGATTGTGACAAACGGTACAGGTGCCTTAGCAGTGCTGATGTATGTGACAAGCTCACTGGTCGCTGTTCTGGGGGAAGTCTCCCAGGATATTATGGAACCGACTGCCAAACAGGTTTGAGCATAGCTAGAATTTTAGTTAAATTTGATAAAGTGAGTGAGTGAGTTTAGTTTAAGTCGCACTCAGCAATATTACAGCTACATGGCGGCGGTCTGAAAATAATCGAGCCTGGACCATACAATCCAGTGATCAACAGCATGAGCATCGATCTGCGCAATTGGGAACCGATGACATCCGTCAACCAAGTCAGCGAGCCTGACCACGCGATCCAGTTAGTCGCCTCTTACAACAAGCATGGGTTACTGAAGATCAATATTCTAACCCGGACCTTCAAGGGTTAAATTTGATAAAGAGTCTGCATATGCGTCAGATGTATGTTTCCTTTCCTGAATGAGTCCACACGGGGGTTGAAAGGCTCTTAGCGTTACCCAGCACCCACCACGAGGAAGTGGTTCTTCACGGGTGCCTCATGCTTCATTTATTCACTTCCTGGTAGTTCATACCGGTATAGCTGTACAGTGTATTGAACAACTCTGAGCTGTGGGTGTAAGAGGTGAGTAGAGCCACGGTTTTGTTCATAATGCTCTAATCCATTCTGTCTATATAAATGAAAGATCATCACGTGATTAATAACAGTGTATCGGCGTCAGATTCTGTATGTGATAACATCCTACGATCCTGTTAGTCAGATATTGGTCATTAACATACATCGTTACCCGTTCTTTCCTACACAGTGATTTATGAGCTAGACCATATCTTAGTCTTGAAAATAATTACTTCAGAACAATTTCAATTACGTATTTCAATAGAACCGCACCTCATCTGCTTTTTTTCATATGTATATGAAGGGAACGTGACTCTGCTCACCGTGACCTAGATTTATGCAGGATTTAAGATGTATACAAACTGCACAATGGACTCAGGACTGTGTATAACAAAGCAATATCGCGTTCAATGCACAGCGAATGTAAACATTTCACGATCACACCACAGTTGCACTGCGCTTTGTTCAGACATTTCTCCACGACCGTACATTGAATAAAACCATATAACTGCATTTGGCTATGCGTACTATTCTAAATATATCCCCAACTAGCTGCTATGAAAACCTCTTTCTATCCTCGTAGTCTGTGTAAACGCGTCGAGTGAGTGAGTTTAGTGTTAAGCCGCACTCACCAATATTCCAGCTATATGGCTATTGAATGACTACGTACAACAGAGTATAAAGATGTTACAATCAAGTGCATACATGCTTGAGCAAATTATGAATCAGTGGTTGGCTATATGAATCCAAAATTTACTTCCTTCTGACCCGCCTCTGTGGTGTAGTGGTTAGAGCGTCCGCCCGGAGAGCGGAAGGTCGCGGGTTCGATCCCCGACCGCGTCATACCAAAATACGTTAAAATATGGTACTTGTTTGTTCCTGCCTGGCGCTTGGCATTAATGGGTACAACAAAGACTGGTCGGCTCGGAGTCAGTATAGTGTGTCTGAGTGGGGTATCCATGCTTCACTGCGGCCTGGTATCTCAGTGGGCTAGCACTATAAAACCAGCTTGTCTGCGCTAGTACAAGCAGCCGCACATACACATACACACGCATGCACGTCGTGATATGAGCGAAATATTCTCTAGCACGACGTTAAACCCAATTTCACCTCACTTCCTTCCGTCCGAAATGGCGGTTACAGAGCGAATTGAGATACAACAATTAGAACATTTGGAAGCACCCATATGATACATGGCTGAAAACAGTAAAAGTGAACGTCATGTTTAAAATGTCACCTATTAAATGAGTGAGTGATATATCCCTTCCCACTTCTTTTAACATTCAAAGCCTTTCTGCAAATATCAGTATACCAAGGCGTATGTACACTAGCATTTGTCGAGGTGCTTTGGCGAAGGAGGGTGAAACAAAGAATCAGTGGATTTGTATTTTGACACCGAATATTCGTTATACTAAGGTTAACATTGATCTAGAATTAGGTCATGTGCGTTTCTATCTAATTCATTTCCACTTACAAACAAAAGCTGCAAAGCCCTTGCCAGATTCATAAGAATATCTCAATAGTCAACATAGTTATATTCATGGGTCGTCTAAATGCAACATGGATAAAAAACAGAAATGTCATTGTCACTTCGTCGACCTTAGGCACCCATGAAGGGCCACCTCCTCGTGGTGGGTGCTGGGTCACGCTAAGCGCCTTTCACCCCCCCCGTTGTGGACCCGGGGGCATATTAGGTCCACCAACCCGTTTGCCGTGGGTTGCGCCCCTGTGTCGGTGGAGGACGGGAGGCTGGTGGTTGAGGGCACTGGGAGCCTGGAACCGTGTTCCTTTTGCCCAACACACCACTTCGCCCCTTACTTCACCTAGACGGGTGGTAGAACTGGTCCGGTTCTATCAATCGGCTGGTCATGTCATGCCCTGAGTATGGACAGCGTGTTGTTAACGGCTATTGTTCACAGTAGGTCTATCTAACACTACTTACCAGTAATTTTTGTGTTTTGTTAAATTGCCTAGAGTCCAATGCCAGAAGGCGGTGGCTCATGGGCCAATCTGGATATACGAACCTCTGACTTCTGTATTTCTTGGGAAAAGTGTCATGGGCCGAACCAGCCTGGCATTTCTTCTTTTAGTCATTGCAGCTTTTCATGTTTTTATATCTGGAGTATAACGCTCCTGTAACCCTAATGTTGCAGATTGGTCTCCGCTGCAACATTGTCCTTGTTGACACTCCATGGTGGATGGGGAACAGAGGTGTCGAATCACATTACTATAACCATGGCTCACAATACCTTTCCTTGTTCATTAAAGCACAAACGCCGTCATGTTGATGGTTTATCATCTGACGAAGAAATCCTTCAAAACGTCACAGATTCTTGGCCGAGATTTCTCATCATTGCATCTGAGGATGGCAATCCGTTAAAACTTAATCCCTTTGTCATTGCTAAAGGCATCAAAGGTGTCTGTGGCGATGTTAAGAATGTTTCACGTCTCCGAGGTGGTTCTATCCTAGTGGAGTGTGCAAGGAGACAACAATCAGTTAATCTGCTGTCCTTAAAACATTTTGTTAACACTACAGTTGTTGTCTCGGAGCACAAGACACTGAACTCATGTCGAGGAATAATCAGGGACCGAGCTCGTTGTCTGTCAGACATGAGCGAGGAAGAAATTGCAGCTGAACTAAAGAATCAAGGAGTTACGGCCGTTAAACGCTTTACCAGAAAACAAAATGATGAAGTTGTCAAAACAAACACTTATCTCTTTACTTTTGGCCTTGCAGTCCTTCCAAAATCAATCAAAGCTGGGTATTTCAATATCGGTGTGGACGTTTATGTTCCAAATCCTCTCCGGTGCAAAAATGCCAGCGATTTGGACATGGAACAAAAACTTGCAGAAATAACACGGTGTGTTACCGTTGCAGTGGTAACCATGAAAGCACTGAGTGAACAAATGTTATCAAGTGCGCTCACTGCAATGGAGAGCATTTGGCCTCCTCAAAAACTTGTTCCTTTTTCCAACGAGAATCTGAAATTCGTAAAATCAAATATACCCAAAATATTTTTTTCTTGAAGCCAAAAAATAGGTTCCAAATCCTTCTGCAACTCCTACCATCAAATATTCAACTGTCATTTCTTCCCCACCTCCAGTCACTAAAGTTGTCACAACCTCCGTCATGTGTCAGACATCAATTTCCTGGGTTACAAACCAACTCATTCTATATGATGTTTCTCAGATGTCAACAAAACAGATAGACACATCTGTGTCGTGTTCTCAGACAGAGAAATTGTCGGAACCCTTAAGTGACGTCACGTCTGAACCAGATTTGCAAAATGGTAAAGATGCATGCAGCAGCCATAAACATTTATCAAACAGTGAAAAGAAAAACACTAAAGAAAAAGACCAGGGCTCTCCAGCACGTCGAGGTGCCTCCTGGGACATCTGTTGTAGAGGTTCACAATCCATTTGAACCTTTAGAGATGGAGGTCAGTCCCACAACCCCAGTAGATGGGAATAGACCCCACTCCCGATCACGAACTCCAATTAAGCCTCCATGAGCTCTACAACCATTATTCAGTGAAATTGTAGGGGACTACGGAATAATCTTAATGATTTACATTTACTTATACAAGATTTTAGACCGTCAGCATTTTGTTTACAGGAAACCTATTTCAAAGAAAACGATCAATTTGATGTACGACAGTATAATTCATACAATTATTATTCTCCCCCAGGGCCAAAAGCCACTGGAGGGGCTTCGATATTAGTGAGGCAAGACATAATACACAGTCCTGTTCCTCTGAAAACTACACTTCAATCTGTTGCTGTACGTGTGACCATGCACATTGTTTTTACTTTGTGCTCACTGTATGTGCCCCCTTCTTCTTCTCTCCAACCTGCTGATCTTCAAGAACTCTACGACCAGCTTACCAAACCTTGTATCATCATGGGAGACTTGAATGGCCACAATCCCCTTTGGGTAAGTCCACATACAAACTGTAAAGGGAAAGTACTAGAAGACTTTCTTTCTAACAACAATCTATATCCCTTTAATGATAACTCTAACACATATTTACATCCTGGAATGGGTACATATTCTTCTCTCGATTTATCCATAACAGACTCTGATCTCCTGAATGAGTTTGATTGGTCAGTCAATGACGACCTATGTGGAAGTGACCATTTTCCAACCATTGTAAAAGCTGTAACTCCGTCTGATGTTCCTCCATGTTCCAAATGGAATTTCTCAAAAGCTAACTGGCCTTTGTTTGAAATAATGTCATCTAACAAATTAAAACCTGAACTCTTTAGAGATGTTTCCGACCCTGTGCAATTCTTTTCTGATGAACTAAACAAAATTGCTGACGAATGCATTCCAAAGTCCTCTACAAATCCTCACATACGTAAACCGTGGTTTAACAATGCCTGAAAGCAAGCTAGGAAAGCACGGAAAAAGGCTGAACACTATTTCCGTCGCCATCCAACGGTGCATAATTTGAATAAATATAAAATTTCTAACGCTAAAGCCCGACGTACAATTAAGCACAATAAACGCCAATCCTGGCGAAATTATGTGTCGAAAATCAATTCACGAACGCCTATGTCCAAGGTATGGAACATGATACAAAGAATTAAAGGTAAGGGTACTAAATCCAGCATCCACCATCTTAACCATGGAGATCAATTATTGACCAATAAGTCCGATATTGCGAATAAACTGGGCGAAACTCTTGCTAAACACTCTTCCTCTTCTAACTATGTGCCTCACTTTCAAAAATATCAAAAACAACAAGAGAAGAAAAATATAAATTTCAATTCAGATAATGGAGAAGATTATAATGAAATCTTTACTATTCATGAGCTCCATGATGCTCTTGAACAAGCTCATAATACTGCTACAGGAGCTGATAACATCCATTATCAACTCCTGAAACATTTACCAGAAACATGCTTACAAACCTTGTTAAATATATTTGATGATATTTGGACATCTGGTACATTCCCATCATCATGGCGTGATGCCATAGTTGTGCCCATTCCAAAACCTGGACGGGTTCATACTGATCCCTCAAATTATCGACCCATTTCCTTGACTAGTTGCGTTTGTAAAACCGTGGAACGAATGATCAACAATAGATTAATATGGTATTTGGAATCCAACAATTTAATTACAAATATTCAATGTGGATTTCGGAAAAATCGAAGTATTGTTGACCATTTCGATTTAGAAAAAGCATATGACACTACGTGGAAATATGGCATTTTAAAAGATCTACATGATTTTGGATTACGAGGCCGTTTGCCTCATTTCATATCCAACATTTTAACTGACAGGCAATTTCAAGTCCGAGTGGGTTCGACCCTATCTGATCATTATCATCAGGATCAGGGTGTGCCACAAGGCAGTATTTTGTCTGTCACTTTATTTAGTATCAAAATTAACAGTTTATCTAAAGTTTTAAATGATTCCCTTGATGGGTCACTTTTTGTGGATGATTTTAATATTTCTTGTCGTGGTAAAAATATGCGTACTATTGAACGGCAAATGCAGTTGTGTTTAAACAAAATAGATAAATGGTGTCTTGAAAACGGCTTTAAATTTTCTAAATCCAAAACTAATTGTATACATTTCTGCCGTAGGTGGCCGATGGTGGCGCGGTTGCTTTTGCCACTGTCATTGGGTCCAAAACAATCTCTTCTTGCAGAAGCAAACGCAATACTAACAGCTCTTAAATATATTAAAAAACACCGTAAATATAAACAATATATAATATTTTCAGACTCTCTTTCTTGCCTTCAGGCCATTAAAAATATTTCTTGTAAACATCCACTTTTAATAGAAATTACAGAATTATAAAATGATCTTGCAACTGGCCAATACGACATCGTCCTCTGCTGGTTACCCAGCCACGTTGGCATTTCTGGGAACACGATGGCTGATATTGCTGCTAAGGCAGCACTCAACAAATCTGTGACACCACTTCTGATCCCATACTCTGATTATAAAGCCAGCATTAGAACATACATCCGCGATCTGGTGCAAAAGAAGTGGGATGCCCAAGAAGGTATCAATAAATTACATGCAATCAAACCAACTATAGGTTACACCTACTTGGGTTGTCAGTCCAGATTCGAAGAGGTCATCATACGACGATGTCGTATTGGCCACACAAGATATATTCATGAGTACCTATTGAAAGGTGAGGAACCTCCGTTTCGTATCCCTTGTGATGAAAGAATCACGGTCAAGCATGTCCTGCTGGACTGTGTTGAATATTCCATCACAAGGGATAAGTATTTTAATGTCAAAACATTGAAGGATCTTTTTTATAATGTTAATTATCATTTAATAGTTTTTTAAAATTAAATTTTTAATAGAATTAGATTTGTTAACTGATTTGTAAATAGATAAATATTTTATTATTGGTAATTTACATTAGTCACTGAGATTGTTAGTGGCTGTACCCTCAAAGGGGTTGACGTAGCGTAAAATTATTGTCCTCCTGAGAGGGTACGTAAGTCCCAAAACTTTCAAAGTAAAACATAAATTATCACATTTTAAACGTAGTATTTTTGTTATTTTAACTATTGGCTAAATTTTCCTACAATCGTCAGCGGCTGAAGGGATGGTGTAAATCCAACTAGGATCCATGCAGGTAGCAAAAGTAATGTAAGTCCCCATGGCTCCTAGCATGGTGATCTACCTTCAGTTGGTAGCGATCTATAGCCCATTTTTATATTGTGTTATAGGTTAAAAGGTTGTAGATTCAATAACTAGTTTTACATGTATATCTGTGATACTCTAGTTCTTTTACTGTCCTTCGTCGGCAGGTGTTTTATAATATATATATATTTTATTTCAATATCAAATGTTCTCGTCACGATATGGCTGAAATATTGCCGATGTGACGTTAAATAATAACTCACTCACTCGTCGACCTTAAAGCAAACGTTACAAAACTTGACACACATCGCTACCATGCGATAATACAACGACGTTCTAAAGAATTGCCCAAATGTATGAAGAATCAAAGCCATCAAAACACCTTCAAATGGCCATCAATTATCCCGCCATCAAACAAGTTTCCTTTGCGTCTGAACACAACGCGTTCTATTGTATTTATCTTCCAGTTAATGTTAAATATTAACTTAACAATTGGGATTGTTTCAATACAGGTATGGTAAGAGATAAGATGGCAATAGTTATTGGCATACATAAAGTACTGTGCAATTTCGGTCATTAAAACATCTTGATATTTACGAAATTGCCACTCTTATTATTTAAATCAATCGCATCCCATCTACATGCCCGAGCCTTGAAAGGTATCACATATCCTGTTTTGATATCCTTTGGATTCACTAAATTTTCACATTTTTCACATTTTTATGAAATGGAAACACTGTTGACTTTGTCATGCTGACCTTCATGTTGATATATTTGTTGTCAGGAGACATTCTGTTGAGACTGACTATGACCAGGACTTTTAAAATTCTGTTTTAGATATCCAACATGGAATGGTGCTGGGTGGGGATGCTTTTGGTCTGTGTCACTGTGGTCCTCACTGGTAGGGACGTTATTCATGGAATGTAAAACAAGTGTAAACATTTGCAGATCTGGGCCTAGATTTTCGAGGCTCTCTGAGAGCTAAGATAGTCGTAAGTCAATGTTAATGTATGGCACTTACGACTATCTTGGCGCTAAGAGAGCTTCGAAAATCCAGGCCCTCTGTAGTCTTGATTCACAAATACTTTGCTATTTTCGAATCATTTCACTATGTTCTGAAGGTAAACCTTTACAAATGATACGTAACAAGTTTTTTTAAGCAGATGCAGAATGCCACTGCACTACATCAGAACTCTGTGACAAGTACCCCTCAACTCCCTGTGGTCAGGGCATGTGTTTGCAGGGATGGTTTGGAATGTACTGTCAGAAACGTGAGTATGACGTAGATGCTTATAGATAAATCTATGTCAACGTGTCACTAGTATTTGTTCATTCCACTTGTCATGCTTATGTTGTGTTCCTGTTTTCAGAAAATATTGCTCTCCGAAGATCGAGTAGCCAGAGTAGTACACTAAATGGCAACTATGGAGCAGGACTGGGTGTTGACGGCAGAGCCACAACAGATGCAGGGAGCCAGCCATTGACATGTGCTCATACAATGCGTGAGACAAATCCCACCTGGACTGTGAACCTGAATACACCAGTTACAGAGAAGATACAACACATCAGACTTTATCTTCGCAACGACCGTGAGTTGACCCATACGATCAATGTTATACTGGTAACATGAAACGGTGAAAGCAAATGACACTCACATATACTCATAGAAACGAATAAGGGAACACCTGAATGTACAAGTGTTCCTTTATTTATTTCCAGACTGTTACTCACAGTCCGGACACTTGTGCTTTCATGTGTTCCCTTATTTGTTTCCATGAGTATATTTTGTGTAGTTCATGAGTTGTTCTCACAAAGGATGTGAGCAAATGCAAAATTATTCCAAAATTTTAGTGGAATTGACATATTATCCATATTAGGACGCATTCAGACTAGCATGTCACCAATGTAACATGTGAGAACAAAACATTTATAATGAAACAAAATGCTTACAAAATGCTTTGTATTTCACATTGTTAATCGTTAGATACTTGGGGTACTTACAAAGTAGTCATTTGCTACGAACAAACCAAGAGACTGAAATAAAAAATAGCCTCATAATACGAAACGAATGAGTTACAGTGAATTATAACAGACGGAAAAAAATATACTCCTGTATGTTTCAGGTTGAGAATCGACGACATTCATAATGTTAATATACCTGCTTGATAATAAAACAGTTTTAGATCAAAATGATTAGAGAAGCCACGTTCAACTAGTTTCTGATCAGAGATTTTCAAATTCCAAACCAATCTATTTTCTTGTCTTAATTTTATATACAGTCATGTTATACTAGATGGACATCTATTCATCTATTTTAGGAATTAACAAAACAATTCAAATTCACTTGTTAAATCAGCAATGGATACAGCAGCTTACACATTTCAGACTGTGTCGTATCGCTATTTCTCATACGAAAAGGCGACGTCATGTGTTCACGGTTTTGCATTTAATATTAATCATACAATAGTCTGAAATGGTACAAGTAATAAATTGAGATCGATGAAAATGTAGATAATTCCATGATGGTTAACCGAGGTGTGGGAAGTCTGAAGTGAGAGAAGGGTGGAGTAGTATTTTAAACGTGATGCTCACCAGTAAATGTTTGAATTAAGAAGATCTCACAAAGTGTCTTCACCTGTCAGTTTTTTACCGACATGACAATCCGTTTTGTAGACAAGTATAATCAGTCCATACAAACAATACATGACATTCCTTACCTGCTTTGCGCAGTGCATTACGCTATAAAATCATGTCATAATATTGTTCTTCGTGTGCTGAAGTGTGGCAGACTGGGCAGTCTGGGCAGTCAACGCCGTGGCATATAATGGCATGAACTGACCATTCTTATCCCTAGTTGATACAGTTAAGTGAGTGGACTCACTCACTCACTCACTAAGATATTGAGGGACACGTTTCAAATTTGACGACAAATATGCTAGAAGTACATTTCCAATGATTGATATTCAATATCAGAAAGGAGAGAATACACACCTGTTGAAATCTGTCTTATAAAACACGTCCTGGTAATCTGTGTCACCATCAGTAAATCTAACATGTCGGGGGAATTAGCTCAGGCCTAGGGCGAAGAATACGCGTGAATTTCCAAATTGAAACAGTAAGTTAACTGATAGTTCAGTATGTACATCTTGTCCACGTATATGGTTATATCTTATAAAATGTTTGCATAACAAGAAATTCCGTTAAGAACAGCAGCAGTTCAAAGTCCCTTCTTTCAATGAAATTACAAGTGATAATTTTCTTGACTTGTTATTCTTTGTATGTGTATGAAATGCTTTAGAAATAGTTCATGGTGATCTTGTATTTTAGCTGTATGATTTCTTCATATCCCTAGGATTAAATCATGAAGTCGGTAGGTTTCCCTTGCCCTTTTCATATAGAACACAATCACCAGGCTCATGATTTTTTTTACATATCTCGATTAAAAATTGTCACCTATGTCTTACAAATCGTGCATTTGTACAGAATCCTAGTGATCATTGTAAAACCAGATATATTTAAAACAAATCAAACTACAAACCTCGGAATTTTAAAATATTAACGAACCTTAAGTGCACTGATACATTCGATGTGAAGCCTCATAGGTTTTAACTTTTATCAACTTGAGTTTATATGCATCATGTCCCTGGTCAAACATATCATATGTGTCTGCCATCTGTGCAGTTCAGGAGAGAAACAACGGCATGGAGATACTTGTGGGCAAACAGATGTGCTACAACTGGTCGTCTTCTGAACATCCCCCTCCTATAGCTAACGTCACCTGCCGCCAGCCACTGACAGGAACCACGGTGACCATACGGATACCTGGTCCACTGAAATTCCTTACTTTGTGTGAAGTGCAGATATTTGGTATGTCATGGCTATGTGGATTTACATAGTTGGATATATTGTTCATTGGTATGAACTAGAAAAGGTTTCACTATGGATACATGTATTATCTATCGGGCTGTTGAAACGTATTAAATTTGAATGGATATTGCAGCGATGAACTAAACACTTTCCACCCATCTATTAGGACTCTTAACATTAAGTATAATCCTGTTATCACTTGAATTCAATGCCAAGTGAGGTTTTCTTTATTGAATTGTTCAATCTTGTCAACAACAATGAAAAATGTATCTATCCATCAACTGTATTCATTCAGTAGAGTATACCACAGGCCCATGATACAATAGCAAAACTGGAGTCCACGTCTCACGGTGCCTGTTTGATTCTAATCCACATTACTATGTATATATCAATGGTAAGCGTTTTGACCGTGCAATCGTTCGTGTACGCCATTAATAGATTGACTTGATGTTATCCAAATTTTAACACCAATGGTAATATTTGAAGGTACTGAATCGTCTTTGTAGGTCATACATGGTGTCATGGTTGTTCGTCTGTGTCGTATGAAAGAGATACCTTGCGTTGAGAATGTGGGTCGGAATAACGGATGGGACTCAACACACAACAACACTAAAATGTGTACTTTGTTTAGAAATTTTAATCTCAAATATAACATATGTTATGTTACATTTAACCACTTCCTGAAAGAAAATGTGTATTCATGTTTGAAGTGACGCATATATTTTATCAAAGTGTTAGGGTATAAATGCATCACATACAGTTCTACATTATGTGTATGGTGGCCATATCTGAAAATGTCAACCAATTATCAGTTTGCAGTGATGGATGGTTTTCTGAAGATTGTGACAAAGAGTGCAGTTGCCGTAGCAGTGCTGATGTATGTGACAAGATCACTGGTCGCTGTTCTAGGAGATGTCTCCCAGGATATTATGGAACCAACTGCCAAACAGGTTTGAGCATAGTTACAATTTTAGTCAGATGCATTTGATAATACGTCAGATGCATGTTTCCTTTCCCGAATGAGTTTTTGAGTTAAGTGACCAGTCGTACATTGTATATGTGGAAACAAATAAGTCTCATGGCCAAAATGGACCCATACGCTACTAAACATTGACGGTAACACCCCAAAAGGTATGTGCCGAAACAGACAGAACAGATACCATGGTAGCGGTTGGGAGGATCTCATACTTACAATTAATTTGAAGAAAAAAAACACTTTTGAGTAACGATAGTGGTTGGTTGGGTTGGGCTGGGTAGCGGTTAATTTGGTAGTGGTGGTGGTGGTAGTAGCAGTGGTGGTAGTGGTAGTGAATGTGTATTTGTATGTGTGTGTGCGTGCGTATGTGTACGTGTTTGGGGAACGGGGACTTTGTTTCTGTCAATGTATGTCATCGAATAGATACAAAACGTATAAACTTCTTCACCAATAGTCAAAAACCAAAACGACTATAGCTTTGTATTTTGTGTTATGATAAACAGGAGTGACTAAACAGGCGATTAAACGGATACCAAAAGGGGAAAGTTTGAATAACTTTCATAAAGGCAGACGAATAAGTTTGAAAACTATCTGAATTGAATTTATAAAGGAAATCAATGTATATGCGCAACGTGCAGTCTGGTCATGTTTTCGGATACTCTGTGGTTAAACTAACAGTATTCATGTAGAACCTGTAGAAGTTTGTTCTCATGTGTGACGAGATTTAACATTGAGAACACTTCCTTGCATTTTTATTGATAATATATACTGTTTTTGACTGTGTGTTACCTTTCCCTCAATATCCAGTGAATGAACTTCATCAAGTGTCATAACGTTCTTATTTGTTAGGCTAGAATAGGTTGCCACAGCATCAGATTAACTGTGGATGTGGCTAGCCATATTGAAGAGTTCCTCAAAAAACAATTCGTTTATGTACACAGCATGTCCAGATGGTTACTATGGTCTGGCCTGTGGCTTCCAGTGTGGCAACTGTGTGGATGGTGACGTTTGCATCAAGACAAATGGAACATGTCCTGGAGGATGTGTAGCAGGGTGGATTTACGGCAGGTGTAGTCAGCGTAAGTCAATTGCAATGATAACATCAGCAGCAAGATCATGATAGCTTTTAGATCTTATGTCTGACTATTCAACAGAACATTGCGGAACATATTCTAAATGAACTGTTGTGTCTGTGGTGACGTCAGGGAGAATACATGACCAAATCTGGTGGTGCATCTCAGGGTTGAAAAAATTAAAATAAGTCGGTTCAACCAAGGTGTAAAACATCGGAGAGCTCTGAAGTGGGGATAACTCTTGTTCAGAATGTGACTTTATCGTTTATCTCCATGGGAAATTCCTGGTTTGCATGAACAAACTTTTAGCAATGATTATAACAACCTACATAATATACATAGGAACCTCAGCGGACATGCCAAGAGTAAAGAGCAATATTCCCTAAATGCCCCTGACATTTGATATTGAAATGTTAACTGCATCACAGAGGCTTACACTTGCTTAGACTATTCTTCACCGGCAGGTGTTAATTTTACATTATACAACATGTCCCGAAGGACATTATGGTGCCAATTGTGCCTCTCCGTGTGGTCACTGTCTGGACACTGGCGTCTGTGACAAGGTTACAGGCAAATGTCCTGGAGGATGCCAGCCTGGATGGTGGCCAGATTTCTGTTCACAGGGTAGATACTTAATCGCCACTTGTTCCTGCATATCTTAAATGTTTTGTCTTTTTGTTAATGGTTAATGATATGTTTATAGCTTGCAGTGACGGTCGCCATGGACTCCACTGTCAGTCTGAGTGTGGCCAATGTAAAGGAAACCTGCCTTGTAACAAGATCAATGGGACATGCAATCAAGGATGTCAGCCAGGGTTTCAAGAACCCCTTTGTACAGGTGGGATGCATTTTGAATGTGATGGCAGTTATAATTTCTCATTATATCGCGGACGCCTGGCAGTTAGATGAAAAATGTATCTTCTCTACTCCCCAGAATGCGTTGATGGAATGTACGGTGATGACTGCATGTCACGATGTGGTCAGTGTAAAGACGGCTTAACCTGTGATAAGTCCAGCGGAGAATGTCCCGAAGGATGTCAGGGTAACTTCATGAAAAGCAATAAGAAATAATGTATTCTTTCGACCATATGCAAAGGTTTGCTCAGTCATCAAGACGACAGGCAGCTAGATAACTGCTGTTGAAATTCTTATTTTCTATTGATATAATGAATGAAGGTAACTTGGTAAGATATCAAGGCAGATGATATGAACCCCTTTTTATGTTCTGAAAGGTTGTACAGAGTGCCCGGCAACGCCAGGATACTCAAACCAGGTGGTGCCAGTTGCAGCAACACTTGGGACACTACTCGTCTTGGCTCTCATCGCTCTGCTGACAGCCATCATTTACAACAGAAGGTAAGGGGAAGATACTTGATACTTAAGAACAGCGATTGACATTTTGTGCTATATTAACCACATAATCTTATGTATAGGAACGCATTTCTATATTAGAATCATAAGAATTGAAACATTTCCGTATATTACAGACTGAGGGTTCAACTGGATGCGTCAGAAAAGAAACACGAAGATAACTACTTGTCTTTAGACGAGAGGACCAAGGATCCAGTTGTGGAGAACACATATGAGCACATCGACAATACCACCGAATAAGTGCATAAAGCGTCCTGTCGTGATGTATATGGATATAAAGTAGTCTTTTGTATTAGTAGTAAATTGTTCTTAGTGTGGACAAACGTAGTTTCTCATTTCAGGTCACTTATCAGAGTACAACTCGAGCAAGTCGTGTTCTGGCTTAAATATCGACAATGTAACGATTATGAAAATGGTTAATCAGCGTTTATCTTTTATCAACTGCAAGCATCAAAAGCAGTGTTTATTGAACTCAGCACTCTCGAATATAGCTCATGTTATGTGATTCAGTGCATGACCTTTTGTAAGTATGTTGTATTATTTTGAATATTTCTCTATGAATAAATGTTTGCGGTTGACACGTTCGCTTGTCGCCCTGATTATATAAAAGTTTGATTCACAGCTGTGAAGCCAAGTGCTGTGTGTCTCGATAATACGTGTGGGTTGAAAGATGCATAAAATTATGTTACTTTTTACCATGGTATTGCACTGAAATACAACACATGTTTATTCAGTAAAGTAATTAGATACTGTTTGAAACATTTCAAAAGTTCAAACACGGTTGAATCGTTTCCTTATTACGCTGCACATGTAAGTTTTGATTCACAGCATGGGTGAAGTCAGTTCCTTCTTCCTTGTTGTGGCATAAGGTTTGCAAATTGCGCCAAACTATGTCACTTTAACAACATTCCTGGACTGATATATATTAGCTTAAAGTTACATATACCCGGAGAAACATTGATATCGTTTCTTATATGTCGAACGTTTATGCATGTCTCTATGTACATATTTCACTGACACCTCTCTTCATGAATGTCAAACATATCACAAATAATAAGCCTCATGTGCCTATAATTTCATATATGTAGAACCTTCAGACTTGCCCGTGTGTACATTCGTCATTATATAAATGTCAAGATACCACCGATAGCTGGTTTGTTAGTGCAAAACCGTGGTATGTTTCTTTGGAAGGTCACATGCACCTCATCATATCGTAGTAAATTATGATACAAACTATATGTACTGTCACCTCATGTTTTTACTCTTTCCAAATGATTTGATTTGTAACATAAATGATATCCACTTGAACAACATGTTTTTTTCCCACTATATTTCACGTCGGCCATTTACGCCTATTTGTATTGTATTTCCTTATTTCTAAACCTGCGGCAAGTGAGCAAGAAAATATAAATAACCCTGACGTTGTTATCTAGCAGCAACCTTTCAGGTTGTACTGAGAGTCGCCATTGGCCATGTTCACTATATGCGGATTAGCAATGCAATATTTTTTTGCAGTTACAAATTTCATTACCTACGAGGGCGAAACTATTGGGATTCAGATTTTTCATACTATGCCCTAAGGCAAAATATCACTTAGTCACGGTGACATAACGCAATGAACAATGCCGTGACGTCACGTTTTTCTATGACGTTGCGTTCTACATGCGGCGACGGCAGGTAGCCAGCCTATGTTTGAAAGTAGATTTGGGTTTACTTTCCTCAATTTGACGACTTCGTTAATAAATAGAGCATTATATTCGTGCCCATATCACATTTGTGCCTAAAGATCGGTATATCACTCGCCCTCGCTCGGGAAATAGCAACATTTAGGCACTCGTGGCGTAAACATAGTATGACATGGGCACATATCCACTATTTAGTTTGTCTGTCTGACTCTATGATTTCTTTAATGAGATAAGTGCTGTGTGTTCATCAGTAAAGTATGCAGTTATGCATCATTGCTATTTTCTATGAATTGTGTTTGCCTACTTCATATTCCTCATCGATTATGAGTCCCTATGGTTCCTAGTATGGTGATCTACCTTCAGTTGTTGGCGATCATTAGCCCGTGTTTTATATTGTATTGTCTTCTTTTAGTTTTACATGCTAGTTTTGTGTTCATATATGTGATACTATTTTTACTGTCCATCATCGACAGGTTTTACTCTCTAAAATGTTATTATTTTTTATTGTATAAATTCCTCACGATATGGCTGAGATATTGCCGATGTCACGTTAAATGTTAACTTGCTCATCCACTGCTCAATTATGAACATTTTGCGGATATTTAACAAGATTAGGACTGGTAGCGGGTTCCAGGATTGAAATGAACCCCTGCAACATATACTTATCGTAAAGGAGAACATAAAAAACAGCCAAGCTGACTTTTGCGCAGAACTGTGGTGAATAGTTGTGTAGCTTTCGTTGTCGAAGTAATAACAAGGTTGTTCGCAATATAAGAAATTACTTTGCAATTTTTCTGTTGGCATTGGTGTCGGTTAATGACTAGCTTCATGTTTGTATTACAATAGCTGTGTGCAGTTACCTTTCTACAGATATTGACGTTAGTTTTTGGCTTGTTACCATGAGTTAGTTTTGTTTATTAAGCCTACATTGTGTAAACATTTCAGGTTACAGATACATATTAATGATACATATTTGATGAAGGGACATTGTAATGTCGATGCAAAGAATAAAATGTTCTTATCCACCAATGTGTCACCTATTCATTGTCGGATGAAGTGTACAGACTGGGGGATGAGTACATGAGTAAAATATGCATGCTTCCAAGTGATTATTTAAGTGGATTGTGAGATGTTGGCAAATACCAAAGGATGGTTGTATGTAATATTCAATGGTTTCACTGATTTATGTCTAAACGGCTACAGCAGTAAAATACGTTTTAACCACCACTGGACACAGTTCCTCAACTGTCCCTTGACGACATGTTTTATATTATACATTTATCCCTTATCAATGTCAAATTGGATTTCGTCACGAAATGGTTGAAATATTACCGATGTGACAATAAATACACACACACTCGCTCGCTCGCTCATAATGCCTCTTTGTGCTTTATAGCTGGGGCATTGTACGGCATATGTCGTCGCGAGAATTTGTTTTATGTTGCGAAAATACACTATTAAAAACCCAAAGAAGTAAAACCCAAAGGCGAAATTAGAACAATATACTCTGTTCAATATGCTGACTATAGTTCATTTAGTTTGATTGAAACTATACATGGCGGTAGCTACACGTCCTGTCCACCTGTGGGCAGGCTTAATACGACTACGCCATGGAAAGACTTAGTGTTTAAATTATGAAGGGAGTCAGCAGTGACACGAGCTCTATATGTTCTCTCACTTTGAATAATGACAAGAATGTGGCATGAATGATTTGGTCGATGTTCCGATGTTTTGGTCACATTCCATAGAACCACCACCAAGTAAAATCTCCGTTTGAAGGATTGGCCTCCCCATACCATCACAACACAGAATATGTTGACCGCCAACGAATCCATCGATTTGTCCCAAACAGCTCGGTGACAAACATTAATAGCAATGTCAGTGGACATACTGTCCTCTCTCTCATCCAGCTAGGGCCCATGCAGGAAGTAAATGTACTGTACGTCCCGATGGTCCCTAGTATGTTGATATACTAATTACTATGTATAAACTTCATTGTTCTCGTCATGAAATGGCTGAAATATTGCCGATGTGACGATACATTTTAACTCACTCACTCACTCCTCTCTCGCGGCTATGGATTCATCACCGAAGCAGACCCGCCAAACAGAGCCTTACAGTCCCTATCTGTACGTACGGCGTTGCTCTATAGTGTTAGTAGTCGTCGAAGCAGATGTATGTTGTGTGGGTGTGGGTGTGGGTGTGGGTGTGGGGGGGGGGCTGGAGTTTCCTCCCCACTCCCTCACAACCACTCAAATAAAGATCAAGGACGGTTGTGCACATGGGCTTACATTTCATTTTCTCTTTTTCCCGTTGCCTTATCATGTGTGGACGGTATGCGGCTAGGGTACTATAGAGTACAGAAGTTTAGACCATTGTATCTACATGTACACGTAACAAAGCAGTTTCGCAGGTGTATGAATTGTATAGACAATTTGTGTAGACTGTATCGCCCGGTTTGCACAAAGCATGACAGGAGACTATATCTATTTTATGTTTTCAATACGTGTTTTATTTAAACAACTTCCTTGTTGCCGAATTGTATTGGTGTTCAGACAGGCGACTGTGGGCTGTTGATGTGAGAGGTGAGTAGCGCAGAGACATAGTTTAGCTCTTATCCGGAGTAGGTATGTGAGTGAAAGATCTGGCATCCCCACTCTTGTACATTGGCCATGTCTTCAGTAACCCATGCTTGTCGTAAGAGGCGACTAAAGGGATCGGGTCGCCAGGGTCGCCGACTTGGTTTACACATGCCATAGGTTCTCAATTGCGCAGATCGATACTGTTTATCACTGGATTGTCTGGTCCAGACTCGATTATTTACAGACCGCCGCGATATAATTGGACTATTGCTGAGTCCGGCGTAAATATAAACTCACTCACTCACCCTCAGAATGCAGTGTCATTTAGTTTTGATTGATTTTGCGATATCGAGAAACGAGGTCGTACCAAATGTCTTTGCAAGCATGACATTATCTGTCCACAGGTTTTGTTTCGTAAGTGTATATTTATCTGTTATGCTAACCCCGGTGTTGATACATTTGCTCTCATCCCTTTGCCTCTTTTCAGGAATCTAACATCGGAAGGTGCTGGGTGGGATTGCTTGTGATCTGTGTCACCGTGAACCTCACCGGTAGGGACGTTATTCACTTAATGTAAAACAAGAGTAGCTATGTGTAGGGAAGAGGGCTTACTTTTCAATAATGCCCAAGGGTCATGTTATATCCAACTTATAAACCGATCGAAGATATACTTTAGATATAATTTCAATACTTAGTATTTACTGTTGAAATCAACTGGGATGAGACTGGCAGCCGACGCCTCGCAATGCACGTGCTCCGCGCTACCGTTTCCCTGCACGATAATGTCATATTTTAAGATCGCATTCAGTGATGGCAAGACAAAGTCGTATCAATCTTCAAAACAAGTAATAATTCAAAGTCAAGGGCTATTCCTCAGAAAAGCCCGAGGCAGAGGGACGTTATTAAGATAATGCCCTGGGCACAGGGACGTTATTAAGATAATTGCCAGGGGCACAGGGACGTTATTAAGATAATTGCTCGAGGAAGCGAGATTGTATCAGATTTGAGGGATATTACGAGAAAAAAAGTGTCCCCTAAGAACAATGGAGTGACGTAACTGTCGGTTTATAAGTGCATATAGTGTTTGGACTTGATGAACAAACACTCACTTAGCTATCACTGAATGCTAACAATACTGTATTGTATATTTCTAACTGAGTAACAAGCGGAGCCATGTTTTTTGAAACAAATGCAGAATGCCACTGTAATACCACAGAGCTCTGTGACAAGTTCCCCTCAACTCCCTGTAGTCAGATGGATGGTCAGGACATGTGTCAGGAGGGATGGTTTGGTCCGTGTTGTCAGAAACGTGAGTGTGGAGTTGATTGGTAGATGTGGTGAATACACAAAGTTATGAATATGTACATGAGTGGGGGTAGATGAGTAGACGGGTATATGTAAAACAATGATTGCAAGTCACCGATACTTGTGATACTAATTATGTATCTAAATTTCAGAAAACATTGCTTTGCGGAGATCTAGCAGCCAGAGTAGCACACTGACCAATTTTCCAAATCTGTATGGAGCAGCACTTGGTGTGGACGGCAGAGCCACCACAAATGTCTATAGCTCACCACGGACATGTGCTCATACAAAGAAAGAGACAAATCCAACCTGGACTGTGAACCTGAACACTTCAGTTCCAGAGAAGATACAACACATCAGACTCTATCTACGTGACGACCGTGAGTGCACGCAGGCACGCACACACGCACGCACGAACGCACTGTACAGTATAGGATATTTTGTGAGAGGATTATTTAAGGGTGACAACATCCGACACTGCAAGAAATGGCCTCTTTTGAAGGGAATGACAATTTGGCCTTTCAGTTGGCAACCTTAACATGTACAGCTAAATTCGAAATCAACGAAACGTAACTGAATAAGATTTTAGTGAGCCAGAATGTTTATTATTGTATCGATTTGTAATAGATTGTTAAGGATGTTTTTTACACACGAATGGTTCCCTTTCAAGAGTCATATTTTGTATTCATCTGAATTTACGTCGAACAAGGTATAGCCTCATCAGAAAGGTACAGATTGTTCTGTCCCCATCTGAGTGAAGTAATATGGTTTTGCACCATCTTTAGCAATATTCCAGCAATATTACGTGAATCTCACCTGAATTAAGCTCATACTCTGTACCATATGAGGTATCGAATCCGGGTTTTAATGCATGACGAGCGGTCGTTTTGACCATTAATGTACGTCATTACATTATAACAGTATATATAAATAGCACAAAATAGTTGTGCACTTTCAGTTTCAGACTGAAAGTTATCAAACACGTGAAAATCAACCTCTTCGCATCATACTATGTTGCACGTGCAGTACCTATTGCGCTGTCACTGCAGACGTTGTGTCTCTATGTTAAAGATGTAAGCAACTTTCTTGCACTGATGGTCTAAAAATAGCCAACTGCAGATATTGTTGGGTACAGAGTATTCATTATCATGTACTGTACTGACATATTGTAGACTATTTAAGTTATTTTACAATTGGTCGTCCTCATTTTAAGACGGGGCGATGGGGTAGCCAAGTGATTAAAGCGTTCGCCCGTCACGCCGTCAACCCCACATGGGCACGATGTGTGAAGCCCATTTCTGATAAACACCGTAGCAACTGGTTTTCTATGTTAATGTACAATAATATCAACGGGCATCACTGTATCACTTTGTATTAACTACACACAACACATTAATATAATCAGTACGATAGTTGCTAATTGAGCACCTTTGGTTATACAGAAATACATGAAAATTCATGAAATACATGTCCTCATCATCAGTTAACCATTTCGGCAGCAGCAGATGTTGACGAAACGTGATGAATACAAATACTGTTTCTGTGATGTGACAGATCCACATAGATGTAAACTTTAGCGAAGTCAGTAATAATAATGGCATGCTCTAAAACGCAAACAGCGTATGTGCCTTTCATGTGTTGTGTGGATATAGTGACACTGTGTTGTCTATGTTATGTGTTCATTGTGTCTGTAAGTCTGTAAAACCCGTGGTTAGAATATTGCCCTTCAACATGCTGGTTTCAGCAACCCGTGCTTGTCGTAAGAGGCGACTAACGGGATCGGGTGGTCAGGGGTCGCTGACTTGGTTGACACATGTCATCGGTTCCCAATAGCGTAGATCGATGCTCATGCTGTTGATCACTGGATTGTCTGGTCCAGACTCGATTATTTACAAATCGCCGACATATAGCTGGAATAGTGCGGCGTAAAACTAAACTCACTCACTCACTGTTAGTCTGTAATTTGTGCCTGCATGCGCGCGCGTGCGTTTTATGCGTGTTGTGTTGCGTGTATGTGTGTCTAATGTGCGTGTGCAAGCGCGTGAGTGTGTGTGTGTGTTAGGCTTATATGTGCGTATATTGTGTTGATGTCTTTTCTGGAAAAATGTTAGTGTAAAGCGTTGGTGGCTAGTCTGACAGGTAAAACTGAATTATGCGGTAAGATTTGAACTGCATACGATTCGCTTTACCGTGGTTCATATCCGAGCTTGCAAAGCAGAATTTGTGTTATCTTTCATAACTCAAGTCATCTATGTTCATTTAACGTGTTCCACTGATGCAACACAATTAATACTTATGACATTTCTCAATCATTTTTTAACAGTTCAGGAGAGAAGCAACGGCATGGAGATACTTGTGGGCAGCCAGATGTGCTACAACTGGTCATCAACTGAACATCCTCCTCCTATAGCTAACGTCACCTGCCGCCAGCCACTGACAGGAACCACGGTCACTATACGGATACCTGGTCAACTGAAATATCTTACTTTGTGTGAAGTGCAGATATTTGGTATGTCATTAATAGGTATATGAACAGATACCAAAAGAATAATAATGAACTGACAACAAACTATATCGGAAAACGCCACCCAACATTTGCAATTCAGGCCACGTTCATTGTTTATAACACTGACGTTAGATCGGATTAATCGATCCTTCTTCCGCAATGAAATATGAAAAACAGTAAATGCTGTTAGAAATTACATCAGCATATTCCGTCTTTTACATCTTTTAGGTTCATCATGAATGCATGTAAATCAAAATCTTATAGTTTAACTGTAATTCTGTGTTGAACAATACAAGTTTGCAGTAACGGATGGTTTTCTAAAGATTGTGATAAATACTGCCGCTGCCTTAACAGTACTGATGTATGTGACAAGATCAGTGGTCACTGTTCTAGTGGATGTTTCCCTGGTTATCATGGCACTGACTGCCAAACAGGTATGTGCTGAAAATACAAAAATAGCAACTAGACTGTGTACAAAGTATATAATTTTAGTTCAAATAAACGGTTTATCAAGTTATTATCCTTTATTGTTTAGACTCTTGTGAAGACTGTGCAAATAATTTCGGATTTCCAATACGACGATTTACGCAAAACAGAAATGTGAACTGGACTTTTATTTGTAAGGCTATCCCCTCTTGTGCATGAGGGGATGTGCATTTGCATGGATTTGAATGACGACACAATGTTATGTCTACAACGTTAGTACTGATATCTGGCACCTATGAAGGGCCACCTCCTCGTGGTGGGTGCTGGGTCATGCTAAGCGCCCTTCAACTCCCCGTTGTGGACCCGTGGGGATATTTGGGCAACCAACCCGTTTGCCGTGGGTTGCGCCCCTGTGTCGGTGGAGGACGGGTGGCTGGTGGTTGAGGGCACTGGTTCCAGGAACAGTGTTCCTTTGCCCAACACACCACTTCGCCCCTTACTTCACCTAGACGGGTGGTTGAACTGGCCCGGTTCAATCAATCGTCTGGTCACGCCAAGCCCTGTGCTACAACTGTAAAATGTTGCACAAAATTTGAGAATTATTATATGATATTTTTAAATCTTGGCAATTTTTGAACTTTGAATTTTTGAATTTCAACTGCACAATTTCATGTAAGTTTTTGCCTAGAGTCGTATGCCCAGAAGGCGGTGGCTCATTGGCCAATCTGGTGGATTCATTAATCTTTTAATTTTCTGTTGGAGTATGTCATCCGGGTATCCTTGGTGCTGCAAGTCGGAGATCCGCTTGTTTTTAGCATCGTCCTTGTGATACTCCATGGTGGGTGGGGAGCTCGGATGATGAAATCTAACACAATAACCATGGCTTACGAAACCCCAACAAAAGAACCAAACGTCCTCTTGACAATGACCCGGTTGATGATGACCACAGACTGCCTAAGTCGATTGAGTATTGGCCACGTTTCCTTGTGATCGAGACTCTAGACAAGAGTCCATTAAAGTTGAACCCTTTTGCAGTATCTAAGGGTATTCAAGGTATTGCTGGGGATGTAAAGAACATTAAACGTCTCCGTTCAGGTGCGCTGCTAGTTGAATGTGCGAAAAAATCGCAATCAACAAACTTGATGAATACAGAATTGTTCGTTGGCATTCAGGTCTCGGTCTCTGCTCACAAAACTTTGAACACAAGTAAAGGAAACGTCAGAGACCGGGACAGATTGTTTGATGATATGTCAGAACTTGACATAGTATCAGAAATGAAAGATCAAGGTGTTCTTTACGTTAAGCGCTTTACAACCCGAAAAAACATTGAAACTTTCAGAACGAATACCTATCTGTTTTCCTTTTCATCTCCAAATGCTCCCAAATCGCTGAAGGCAGGTTGCTGTAACATTCCCGTTGACACCTACATCCCTAACCCACTCAGGTGTTTTAAATGCCAGAAATATGGACACGGTGTAAATACTTGTACATTGTCTGTTGTGTGTGCTCACTGTGGTGAGAAGACACACACAACAGAAGATTGTAACAGTACTTTTAAAAAATGCACCAACTGCTCGGGCGACCATTCAGCTTTTTCTAAAGAGTGTCCCATTTGGAAAGAGCAAATGGCAATTAACAAAATCAAATTTACCCAAAATATCACTTTTTCTGAGGCAAAAAAACTGGTAAAGAGATCCGATCTTCCAGAGAGTTGTGCTGCAGTAGCCAAAACACCATCTGAGTCTAGCTCTAAAATAACAAAATCATCCACTAGCTGCCAAACAACCTTGACTTGGGTCAAAGGGGACTTTCCAAAGAATTTGTACCCTGAGATATCGTCTCAGACTGAAGAATCACTTCCTGGTACGTCAAAATCTTCTTCTGATCATAAATCTTCCTCTCAATCACGCTCACTCACTCAATCGTCATCTGAAAATCAACAAATTGTTCAAAGTAAAGGTAAGCCTAAGCCTGATGCTAACAAGAAACAAAGTGGCAGAGCTCCAGAGGGGTCGCAAAATAAAATTCAGTTGTTTAACAAATATGGATCTCTTGAGGACATGGACGTATCTGAAAACGTCCATTCTAGGGCACATAGCTTGTCGCCCTCAAAACAAGTGCGGGGTAGATCCCGAATAAATCCCCCCAAAAGATAATGTCTTCTATTAATCTTGTACAGTGGAACTGCAGAGGACTAAGGAAAAATTTCAATGATTTGCAGCTATTAGTCCAGGACTTCACACCATCAGCCATTTGTCTCCAGGAGACATACTTAAAACAGACGGATACATTCGATTTACGTTATTTCAATGCATACCATTCCTTTTCACCTCCAGGTGATCGGGCCACTGGAGGATCTTCGATCCTTATCAAGCAAAATGTTATCCATAGCCCTGTTATACTTACTACTGGTTTCCAGGCGGTTGCCGTACGACTGAGGTTACATGTTGCGTTCACATTATGCTCTTTGTACATCTCCCCATCTTCAACTCTTCAGAAGACTGACCTTCAATATTTATATGACCAACTCCCGAAACCTTGTATCATTATGGGAGATTTAAATGGCCACAACCCGCTCTGGGGTGGTACAACTACTAATGCTAAAGGTAAACTATTAGAAGAGTTTTGTTCAGACAATGATTTATGCATATATACTGACGGTTCTAGCACATATTTACATCCTGGTACAGGAACTTATTCAGCTCTTGATTTATCAATTACTGACCCAGACTTATTTCATGAATTCGAGTGGTCAGTCCACGACGACCTGTGTGGAAGTGACCATTTCCCAACAATACTAAAACCCGTGAATCCATCTGATGTTCCTCCATCATCAAGATGGAACTTTAAGAAGGCTAACTGGCCTTTATATGAAACTTTCTGTACTGACAAACTGAAACCCGAACTTTTTCGTGATCTTCCTGATGCCATCAAATGTTTTTCAGATGAGCTCAGACACATAGCTGACAAGTGTATCCCCAAATCCTCTGCAGTTCCTCATGTACGTAAACCATGGTTTAACGCTGAATGCAAACAAGCTCGCAAGGCACGGAAAAAGCTGAAAATTATTTCCGTTGTCATCCTATGGTCCACAATTTAAACAAATTTAGAATTTTAAACGTCAAAGCACGGCATACTTTTAAACAAAATAAACGCCAATCTTGGCGAAGTTATGTCTCAAACATCAATTCGCGCACGCCGATATCAAAGGTGTGGAACATGATTCAGAAAATAAGGTAAGGGCTCTAAATCTAGCATTAAGCATCTAAAAAGTGGAAATGAATTATTAACTGATAAATCTGACATAGCAAATACTGACTGAGTTTAGTTTTACGCCGCTTTTAGCAATATTCCAGCAATATCACGGCGGGGGACACCAGAAATGGGCTTAACACATTGTGCCCATGTGGGGAATCGAACCCGGGCCTTCGGCGTGACGAGCCAACGCTTTAACCACGAGGCTACCCCACCGCCCCACATAGCAAATAAACTTGGAGAAACTTTGGCCAAACATTCTTCCTCATCTAACTATGTACCTGAATTCCAGAAATATCAAAGACAGCAGGAAAAGAAATCTATTAATTTCAATTCAGACAATGGGGAAGACTACAATGAAACCTTTTCGATACATGAGCTTCATACTGCTCTTGACCAAGCTCACGATACTGCTTCAGGAGCTGATGGCATACATTATCAACTCCTGAAGCACTTGCCTGAATCATGTTTAGAGACGCTCCTATCTATTTTTGATGACATTTGGACATCTGAACAATTTCCTTCGTCGTGGCGCGATGCTATAATTGTGCCCATCCCTAAACCTGGACGTGATCATACTGATCCTTCCAGTTATAGGCCAATTTCATTAACTAGCTGTGTTTGCAAGACCATGGAACGCATGATAAAAAATCGACTTGTTTGGTACTTGGAAACCAATAACCTTATAACTAATATACAATGTGGTTTCCGTAAAAACCGTAGTACCATCGATCATTTAGTGCGCTTAGAATATTTTGTGAAAAATGCCATAATTAATAAACAACATGCAGTGTCGATCTTTTTCGATTTAGAAAAAGCATACGACACAACATGGAAACATGGGATTTTAAAAGATTTACATGACTTTGGATTACGAGGCCGTTTGCCTCGCTTTATATCCAACTTTTTAAATAACAGGCAATTACAAGTCCGAGGGGGTTCAACCCTGTCTGACCATTCTAATCAGGAACAGGGAGTCCCGCAAGGCAGTATTTTGTCTGTAACACTCTTTAGCATCAAGATTAACAGTTTATCAAAGGTTTTAAAAGATTATATTACTGGATCTCTTTTTATGGATGATTTTAATATTTCTTGTCGCGGTAAAACTATGCATACTATTGAACGGCAAATGCAGCTGTGTTTAAATAAAATACATAAATGGTGTCTTGAAAACGGCTTTAAATTTTCTAAATCCAAAACTAATTGGATACACTTTTGTAGAAAATATAAACCGCGTAAAGACCCGGAACTGTTCCTCAATGGCACTCCCATCAAAATTGTGAAGGAGGCCCGGTTCTTGGGCTTAATTTTTGACTCGCATCTGACTTTTCTTCCCCATATCAAGTCACTAAAAACTAAATGCTTGAAGTCACTTGACTTGTTGAAAGTCGTTGTCAATTCTAAGTGGGGAGGGGATCAAGCTACCCTCCTACAATTATATCGATCATTGGTACGTTCCAAACTTGATTATGGCTCCATCGTTTATGGTGGAGCCTGCAACAGTAATCTAAAACTTTTAGATTCTGTCCACCACCAAGGTCTAAGACTAGGTCTTGGTTCCTTTAGAACTTCACCTGTTGACAGCCTTTACGTCGAGGCTGATGAGCCATCTCTTACACAACGCCGTATAAAAGTAACTTTACAGTATATTACAAAACTTTATTCCAATGAGTTAAACCCTGCATATAACCGTGTCTTTAATCCACTATATGAAGATCTGTATAACAAGAAGCCTTCTCTTGTTCCGCCTCTGGGATAAGAGTGAAACCTTTCCTTTCTGCTGCTGGCATTGAGCTAGAACATATAGCTCCTTCCCGTTTTCTTTCTTCTCCGCCTTGGCAGTTGGTTAGGCCACAAGTTGACCTAACATTAATTACATTTAAAAAATCAGAAACAAATGAATTGCAGTATAAACAAGAATTTAGTCAATTAAGAATTAAATATAATACATACAAATCCTTATTTGCAGATGGGTCCAAGGATGGTGGCGCAGTAGCATGTGCCACTGTCATTGGATCCCGAACAATATCTTCTAGAATACCGGATAACAGCTCTATATTTACAGCAGAAGCAAACGCCATCTTAACAGCTCTTAAATATATTAATAAACACCGTAAATTTAAACAATATATCATCTTTTCAGATTCTCTTTCGTGTCTTCAGGTTATTAAAAATCTTTCTTGCAAACATCCACTTTTATTAGAAATTATTGAATTGTACAATGAACTTGCTACTGGCCAATGCGACTTGTTGGTTGCCCAGCCACGTTGGCATTTCTGGGAACACGATGGCTGATATTGCTGCTAAGGCAGCCCTCAACAAATCTGTGACACCACATCGTATCCCATACTCTGATTATAAAGCCAGCATTAGAACATACATCCGCGATCTAATGCAAAAGAAGTGGGGCACCCAAGTAGGTATTAATAAATTACATGCAATAAACCCTACATTGGTTACGCCTACTAGGGTTGTCAGTCCAGATTTGAAGAGGTCATTATGCGACGATGTCGCATTGGCCACACTAGATATACTCACCAATATTTACTGAAAGGCGAAGATCCTCCGTTTTGCATCCCTTGTGATGAAAGAATCACAGTCAAGCATGTCCTGCTTGACTGTGTTGAATATTCCATCACAAGGGATAAGTATTTTTAATTTCAAGACATTGAAGGATCTTTTTCATAATGTTAATTATCATTTAATAGTTGAATTTTTAAGAGAATTAGATTTGTGGACTGATCTGTAAATAGTTAAATATTATATTATTGGTAGTTTCTATTAGTAACTGAGATTGTTAGTGGATGTACCCTTAAAGGGGGTTGACGTAGCGTAAAATTATTGTCCTCCTGAGAGGGTACGTAAGTCCCAAAACCTTCAAAGTAAATTTAAACTTGCCAGGATTTTTAAACGTAGTATTCTTGTTCTATTAATTTTGGCTAACATTTCTTCCAATCGCCAGCAGCTGAAGGGATGGTGTAAATCCAGCTAGGGCCCATGCAGGTAGCAAAAGTAATGTAAGTCCCCATGGTCCCTAGTATGGTCATCTACCTTCAGTTGTTGGCGATCTATTGCCTATTTTTATATTGTGCTGTCCCCTAAAGTTAAAAAGTTTTAGATTTAATTACTAGTTTTACATGTATATCTGTGATATTCTAGTTGTTTCACTGTCCTTCGTCGGCAGGTTTTTTATGATATCTGTATATATATTCTATTTAAATGTCAAATGTTCTCGTCACGATATGGCTGAAATATTGCCGATGTGACGTTAAATATTAACTCACTCACTCACTAGTACTGATATCTTAGTACGATATTGATAAATGGATATTTGTCAACAAACGTAATAATTTATAATTTGAGTCCATACCGACGGGGTGAACAGTAAATATCTGTGTGTTTGTGCAGCTTGTCTAGGTGGTTCTTATAGAACTAACTGTGCCTCCAAGTGTGGAAGCTGCCTTAATGGTATCATATGTAGTAAGACAAACGGAATATGTCCTGGAAGATGTGCCTCAGGGTGAATGAGGGACAACACTATGTTATGTCTGCAGCGTGAGTTCTTGGAAAAGTTGCATTTGGAAAGTTGCATTTGAAGTCAAATAGATATTGACTGAAAGGTATTAGCTGTGGTAGAACAAACGGTCCTGGGGAATGTCCATCAGAATGGCAGAGAGCCTACGAAGTAAGTCTGTATGATTAAAAGAAGGTTAAGCTTGTAGTTTACTACTACATATTGTTTTTGTGTTTGCAGGATGTCCAGATGGTTCCTATGGTAGCAACTGCTCCTTTCAGTGTGGAAACTGTCTCAGTGGTGTCAGCTGTGACAAGACAAACGGTACCTGTCCTGGAGGATGTGCAGCAGGATGGCAGAGTGATACAACATGTCTACAAGGTGGGTCTGTACGATTTGAAGAGATTGCTAACCCTGCAGAATACTGTTACTGGATGACTTCATTATGTGTATGTGTGTGTTTGCAGCATGTCCAGATGGTTCTTATGGTATCAACTGCTCCTCCCGGTGTGGAAACTGTCTGGATGGTGTCAGCTGTGACAAGGCCTTGGGAACATGCCCTGGAGGATGTGCAGCAGGATGGATGAATGACGGCACGTGTCTACAACGTGAGTAACAATGGCGTATATTGCACTTAAGGGATATATATATAACAATTAGGTTAATGAACTGAAATTCAAATCTATAGCATATGTACACTCATGTGCCAAAATTGTTTCAATTTTCAAGATGGCAGATATTTCGGTCTCGTCCGGTTATGGATAATAAAGAATGTGTTGCTTACCTTATCGGTGTCCTGTTGCTTTTTCACATAGTTTTTCAACATACCAAACATTTTTTATTGGGTTAAAATCTGGACTCTGTGCTGGCCATGGTAGCTGAGGAATGTCATTCCTGCGTTTCCATGTTTCCGTCTCAAGGGACCGATGCATCGGTGCATTATCATCTTGAAACAGCCATGGTTTGTCAAGGAAATGCTTTACTACAACAGGCCACAAAAAGTTGTCAAGTGTATCAATATACTTAGCACTGTTCATGTTCCCATCGACAAACACCAAACACCCCACACCGTAATACGTAATGCACCCCCACATCATCAACTTCATAGACAGCCCTATTCCCTGAGTGAAATACCCGAGACACTCGACCCTCCATCTTTCTGATCACTTTCGCCACACTTTCACTCTTCTATCAGGTTTAGCAACAATAGTCATTTCATCGGTAAAGATGACCCTTTTCCAGTCCCTATCAACATTCCAACGAATTTTTTCTCTACACCATGCCACAAGTTTTTTCCTGTTGACCTTTCGTATTCCCAGCTTTTTGCAAACAGTCCGTCGAACAAATCCCAGTGAATGTAAATTTCGTTGAACATGTTCTTTTTGGAAAAGGTTGTTGCACAGACTGATTAAAAATGTGAGTAATATCCTCCAAAGATTTCCGGCGATTAACTTTAACGATCCTCGAAAGTTGATAACTCCCCCGTGCTGTGATTTTTGCAGGTCTACCAGAATGACGTCTGCTTTCAATATTTTCACGTTTTCGATATCTTTTCAAAAATTTGCAAATAGTAGAAGGATGGATGCCCAATACTCTGAAACATCGGCTGACCTATATCCACCATTTATCATATTGATAATGGCCTGTTTTGTGTCATTACTCATCTCTTTTCCGTGTCCGGACATCAAATCCGTAACATATGCAGCTACTTTTTTCTTGTCAATTTAACCTACCATGAACCTTACAAGGAAAACCGTCGTGCATCATTGCCTATTGCATAAAGTGAGCTCATGACCTCACCATGTGTCCAGATAGGCTTTATCTTCAGCATTAGCATGTGCACTTGTAAATAACAGGGAAGGACAGAGTGTGACGAGGTGAAATACGAGGGGCGTCCTAAAAGTAGTCGGCCTAACTATATTCTCAATGTCCAATGTTAGAAAAGCTTCCATTTCTGTTGGAAGAATCATTAGCAAATTTCACATATGTGGGTACAGTGGTTAACGAGATACTAGTCATCACAATACATTAGGGTATAATATTTCTTTAAACATTTCAGAAAGTGAAAAATGATCTGTTAATTTGTACCTCTTGGAAAACGGTATGCCCTCAGATAATATGATATATAATATGTTCAGTATAGTATTTGATGACTGCCCGTCATAATCAGAATTCAAAGATTTGGATTGCTTGAATTATATTTAGACGGGGCTGTTTTTAAAGGACACCTCAAGTTTACTCTTTCAAAAGCATTGTGTCCAGATATTTAGGGTGGCACCGTTTACAATATATTGAGTGCTGACACTTGTGTGACCATTCAGAATTTAGTTTGAACTCTTTGAATCATGTATGAATAAGTGAAAACATTAAAATAAATTATGTCCGTATAATTACGTCATCTGAAAGGGGTTGGGTAGTGAATATCATGGGGGGAGTCACTTTAACAAGCGATTGTAGTTTCTAATTGCATTATTATGCACTTTAATATCTACGTTTGATTCTAGAGGACTTCTGCCTATCTAATGTTTCATGCATACTTTGTTTCCTGAAGTTTATGATGCATGTATTGCAGATTTTGCGTTTTGGGGGATATAAAGATAAAGAGTCAAACAGAATGGGGATTGTGAGGCTGGAACATGTCAAATGCAATTTGCTTGAGGTAGACAGATAATATGTAGAAAAATAAAACTAGTGTCTGATTGTGGTCAATCCAGCCTGGCATGAAGCTTAGTCAATGGCACTCATGTAAAGAGCTGCCAGCAGCCATATCAAGAGACAGGCTATACAAACAAGGCCATAAACATTCCCGAAACAGGGGTAATATGAAAACTTGAACGTTATTATTATATAGTGTCGTAACGTTCTTTGTTTGATTCAAAGAATCATGTGCTGGACACCTAATGTACAGATACCTTATATCAAAAACGACACTCGTAATTGTTTTGATCGGCATTCTAGAAGTTGGTGAGTAAATATGAAACATACAACTTTATGGATGACAAAGTGAGTTGTATGTTTCATAATACGATACTCGTACTTTGAACGATTTCATACTTTTTCTTACAGAGTGTGCCGTGGGAATGCATGGGATTAACTGTACAACAGATTGTGGGTGTAAGGAATGTAAGGCTTGTGACGCATACAGTGGTGAGACGATGCAACATATAACCTTACACAATGAAATGACTCGACCTACCAAACTGTAGCTTTATTTTATTGCATTAGTTTGGAATGATGGTTATTTTAAACTACTTCTCTATGTTTTAGATTTACGTTATAAATGCAACCTGCAAGGGTCACTATGTCTGATTTGATGAAATGAAAACGGAAATGTCACGCACAATGCTACTTCAGATTGATACCTTATGCATACAGCTTTATAACAAGATTTCAAAGTCGGTTGTCTTTTCAAATATTTTTCTATTTTGTAACCTATGATTTGTTGTCCAAATTTTGTTAACCAAATTTAACTTTGAAAGGGTAATTTAAGATAAGGTTTAAGAATATGTACATGTTTATGCATGAAATAATAAAGTCATTTTGATAACTATATGTTATGTATGTTCATATGGTTACAACGAAGATGAATTTCTCCACTAACTTGGGGGAAACATCTGCAAACCTTACGCAGATTAATTGCACGAGGATCGTGCATCAAATTGCTGAAAAGCATGTGCCACTATCGTGCATGTGAACAGCTGCGTTTTGGTGTAAAGTTTGATAAAAAATCGCCATTTCTCACCGAGTCTCATCATTTATTGAACACATGACAATAAAGTTTTCAACGTCACGAATTTGTTTTACAATACATCAGCTCATGTATAAACAGTACCTTTGAAGTGTATGGGTTATTTTGCAAAATTTAGTTCAGAACAGTTGACTGAAGTAAGTGGCTACATTTACACTAGTTAGTCTAAACGTTTGATGGGGAGTATATTAAATGACTTTGAGCTTCCACAATTTACAAAAGCTTTCAAAGTGATATAAACATTGTTGTAGATAGTCAGGCGTTTCAGCAAATAGAACAATATCATCTGCATACAACAGAACTAGCAACTTTATATATACATTCAAATCATTCTCAACCAACATATTTACAGTAGCAAGCCCATCTACGTTCGTTTGAAAGTAGCTCTACATCGTTTAAATAAATAGCAAAAAGAAATGGTGACAAGTTCTCGCCTTGTCTTACTCCTATCTTACATGGGGAAAAATATGTTAATTTACCATTATGTGGAATACGTGACTTTATTTGTTGATACTTATTAAAGATAAATTTGAAACATTTTCCGCGTATATTACTTTGTATCATTTTGAGGCAAACGCCATGTCCCCTTCTGTATCAAAAACATTACAAAATCAATAAAAGCGCAATAAAGGTTTTTATTGTAATTTTGATAATATCAAATAGAGCTTTGAGAGTATAGACATGGTCAATTGTTGAGTAATTTTGGCGAAAGCCAGCTTGAGCTTCACACATAATCTAAATAGATTTATAAATTACATTCACAGTTCTCTATTTATCTGACCACATTTGTGTGTTTTTTCTGACCCCTACAGAGAAGTGTTCCGGCTGGGGAATCCCAGTGACAGCTGTTCTTGGTGTGTTGCTGATCTGCACAGTGACTGGTGGAACCATATACATCAGACGGTAGTATATTTTGCCTCTTTCGTACAAATACCCACATGTTTCCGAACAGCATTGTATATTGAAATAGTATCTTGCGGCTATGTAATCACCTGATAGGAATGATAGGCAATGGTTCGTTAAACTATACTTAACTGTGACACAAACGTTTCTTAAGAGAATGCTAACAGTCATTTTAAACATTGTGCTGAAAAATATGTTTAAGTGATAGCCTCTTCTTGAGCAAGCAAACACTTATGTTTTATCCTCTTTACATGCCGATCCAATTAGCTATGCAGTGTCAAATATAAAGTTATTTTGTGTTGCCCATTCTTGTTGGATTGGTTCTTTGTGCATTAAATCGTAATTTCTGCTCTGATTGGCGAACTCAGAACTTGGTCCAAGTAGGCTTCAAGTATACTGATGATCTGTTTTGTTCAATACCCACACAAGCGACAAATATAACTTCTTCTCCAGCGTGTCCAAATGAAATACTTTAGAGTACAATTTTACCAACAAGATCTGATTCTTTCTCCGAAGTTGTTGGATTCAGGTTGCAGCATTCGGGGCCTTAGTACAGTCTTCGAAATGTTTCATGGTAAACATTTAGATGCCCTTTCCAAATTTGACGCTTAGACGAAAATGATGCCCCATGCACGCAGTTCCTTATTTTGTACCACATGTTCCACGTTTGTAAGTGAACACTTGTCTCTGCAGGTGTTTGCTGCAGGTGCACTGGTGTGGAATGATAGGCTCACCTTTTCACCTGTTACTAGCTGGTATAATATACATTCGATAGTAATTCAGAAACACAGGCTGTTGATATTGTCGGAACCGCACAATCAACTCGAGTCGACTGTCCAGATTTCGTATGAATATAGAAAGGCTTTCGCCGCTTGTGAAACAATATTTCAGAGGTTTGCAAACATTCCAAAATATCTGGTGCACACAGCAAAAACGACTCGACCCCGTCCTAATTCATTTGGCTGAGAACACCCTTTGACAATATGCTGTTTTGGTTTCAAAATAATAGAGTTCATCTGCATGGACTCTCAGTTTGCAATGTGTAAATAATTTGTTTATGTAGTGAAGTGATTATGGGTACAACTTCATCGCCATACTGAATGAACTTTGACTTTAGATATTCGTGATGTCAGAAAATCATTCTTCCTCCGGGAAAACCTAACTCTTGCAAGAAATAGGGCTCCAAACTTTGCATTCATAAGGTATTTCCTATTCTAAATGGTTGTGCACTAGTTCTTGCAGAACATTTCAGAATTCTTTGAGCTTCAGCTTCTAGATTTAAGGACGGGATCCATTATTAGCAGGTGTCGGGCGAACATTCACAAATAAAAAACGTTTGAAATCATAAAGTATACAATACCTACATTTCTTAACCTATTAAGATCCTTTTTGAGCCGTTGACCTACACAATACTTTCATGTACTATTAGCCTCAGTGTCTAAGTTTTGTTTTAACTGTGACACAATATAAAAGTTTCCACAGCTTAAATCAAGGGCCTTTTTGTTTGTTTCACGTTAGGGTTCTGTTTTCTGAATTTTACCAAATAGCAATAACTATTTTCCCGTCAAATTACTGAAACACCTGGAGAGCTTGAAGACAAAAAAGAGAGCGGAACACTATGTGACACTTGATGAGAGGACAAAGACAACAGAAAGTACCTACGAACATATCGACAATGCAACGCCTTACTACAATACAGTCAATCATCTTCAGGATGAAACTTTATGAAAGGACAAAGGTTCCAGCAACAGAAAGTACACACGGACATGTTAACAATGCTATACCATACTTCAATGTAGTCGATCATCTTCAGGGTGAAACATGGTGATTTTAGCATTAACGATAAAGGGCACAATGCATCACTGAAGAAATACATGTATATATTGTATATATATTACCAACATAGTACTTCGTAAATAAGTATCACAAAGTGTGACACATTATTGTGGACGTTTAGTACACGACAAAAAGTATGCTTATGCTATATAGATAAGAATCATAATGTATATCACATTACAAATACTTGTCATATATAAGTTCTCAGTCAACTAGTATCTAATTAATGTAGCTTTATCATCATTCACTGAGTGACACTGTTTCTCATGCTTAGTTCACCCAACCTCAATCAACGCATCGTGTCATTTTGTGACGGTCACTCAGACCTGATAACACAGTTCTTTATGCACATGTCGCTATACATTGTTGACATATACAGTGAAGATGTTAGTTAAATGAACTCACATGGACATTTTTTGTTGTATCTAATCTGAATATGATTAGCCAGCACATCACACAAAGTGAAGAATGGTGGAACGTTTATCACAGATAATTGGTATATAGTGTGTACATGCCAGGTATGTCAGCTGTACATGTTTCATTTAAATATATCTATTTCGCGTTTAAAAAATCATGTCTTATACGAAATATTTAGAAATTGAAACGTAGTACGAATTCTTGATTATAGCTATACCCTGAACCTCGATATTTAACGTGTTTGAAACTAAGTAAACTTGAAACTTAAACAAACTAAATTTGGCACTATCCTATGGTTATTAATTCTGGCGTTCAATCGTTTGTAACAGTTTCCCTGCAGTGAATGATGTTGGTGGCGACAATTGGCGGCCCCTTCGAAGCATGAGACTCTATCATAAGGATATACAATAGTGAGTGAGTTAAAATGTCGGCAATATGTCAGCCCTATCGTGACGAGAGAACCTAATACAGCAATAAAAAGTATGAAAAATATTTAAAGGTTATAAAATCCTGTCGGAAAGTACAACAACTAGTATATCACATGTTTTTAAAAAACTAGTTAGGGAGCATATAAAATAGTACTGTTAAGTGACAACACAATATAAAAATGGGCAATAGATCGCTAACAACTGAAGTTAAACCACCATACTAGGGACCATGGGGAAGGATATACAATAAAGATTTAGTCCAAACTGACATGTTTTTGTTGTTAATTCATACCTATATGACTTAAAGTGTGAAGCTAGAAGTTAACATTATTATTATGCACAGTTAAGAACTACGTAGACATCAAGTAAATGAACAAGTAATGACAAACTTGATCAAAACAATGTGAGATCACTTGGGGGCGGTGGGGTTGCCTTGTGGTTAAAGCGTTCGCTCGTCATGCCGAAGACCCGGGTTCGATTTCCCACATGGGTACAATGTGTGAAGACCATATATGGTGTCCCTCGCCGTGATATTGCTGGAATAATGCTGAAAGCGGCGTTAAAACGAACTCACATACTCGCTTATCACTAGACAATTTAAAATCTAAATTGTATTTTCCATTCGGCTAAGCATAATTTCATACGCAAATATAACGATTTGTTCTAACCTTTCAAGAGATATATAACTAGTTTAGGCATTATGATCAGGGTACACTGTACACAGGACGCGTATGCTTGTGCTTGTGCGTGTGCGTGCGTGTGTGCGTGTGTGTGTCTGTGTGTGTGCAGCATGTCTTCCCGTGGCCATCGTGCTGAAGCTTTCAATTCCATCTCATAATAGTTAAGCTCTAGTAACTAGAACGTGAAAATGTGACAGTGTCACCCTGTGTGCGTATGCGTAGCTACGTGTGTGACCGATCAGTATAACATAGACATTCCTCATATTCATTAAATACTCTCAGCTAAAATGTGGCTTTCTATTTAAACTTATTCACATCGGGTAATACCTGTTTTACACGCATTTGTATGAAGGATTATAGAAAGTAGTCGACATCAGTGATAACAACTAAAACGTCAGGGTCACATCATTTTCCTAAAAGCCTAGTTTAATCTTAGAGGAACGTGTGCTTTAGAAAGTTATGCATTGCTTTTTGTAACTGGATCACTTTCTCAGAGGCACACACTCGCGATATAGACGATGTTTATACCATGTTTTTGTACAATTTTTAAACAATTTTGTCGCTTATAAACACAGTTCTCTCACGTGCTCATTATGATTTCATGGGAGATAGAAACTATATTCATACTGTAAAAGAAACCGCATAGAAGTTAATTAAACATTTTAATAAATAAAAAATATATAACTGCTCGGTGAACAGAGGGAACTGATGAACAAACTCACGTGTCACTTGTACTTCGTTACTGATCTAATAACTGCAAATTCTTTCGAAGTGACAACACTGGATGAATATAGTGATGAATGTTTCATTTTGTTTCATTCAATGTAAATAAAACTCGAAAAAGTCGAAGGGACTTACGTGTACGCTTCTAGTTAGTCAAGGTTCGACACATCCGTGAAATGATGACTAAAGGAGGAACGCGCAGGGACACAACTGTTACTGAAACAACCGTTCAATCGATACAAGAGTGTTTGCATACGCCTTTCATTACCGACAATTTATGTTTGGTTTCATCAGCAAACCTTTGAAAATATGTTCCATGAAATTTGTGTTTTACTGGTTTAGTGGATTCAATGCAACTGAGTGAGTGAGTGAGTTTGGTTTTCGCCGCTTTAAGCAATATTCCAGCAATATCACGGCGGGGGACACCAGGCATTGGCTTCACGCATTTTCGCCGGGGGGAATCGAACCCGAGTCTTCAGCGTGACGAGCGAACGCATTAACCACTAAGCTACCCCACAGCCCGGATTCAATACAAAGTTTGTTTATCTACGGAATCATCTGTTTAGAGACATATACATGTATGTCAACCTTCCATATCAACATGTAAATGGTATATTCAGTGTCAATGGTCATATGTTTATATTGCTCTATCTAGTCAGATAACAATAGCACGGCAATGTGTTTTCCAGCATCAGAAAGAGCAGAAAGAGAGACATTGTGAGAACCAATATTTGTTCATCATACACCCGAGCCTTTAAGGCTTTACAATTTCAATTGCAGTGCATGTTTAAGTGCACCGCCTTCAATGTATACAGGAAAACCTTTTGTATTGATCATGTGATCTGTCATGCGTGCCATCCTCTTCCTGGTTGCCGTACACTGAGATCGTGCTCGATGCGCGATGGCCGTGTGCATAGTGAGTACTTGAATATATTGTGTTTGACGACTTCTCAGTGTATATCCACGACAGACTAAATGTTTTATATTAGATTCATATTGCTTGACGCTAATCATGTTTATATTCCCTCAACGGAGCACCGTGTGTACGTTTAAACTGCAGTGAACAGCTATCTCATTGCTCAGACCGACATAGGACGTTTAACGGCTCTTCAGGTGTACAATGAAAGCTGAGTGTCGTCATAGGCGACACATAACGGTAATAGCTATGTCGTCATCATGCGTATGACGTTAAGCAGTTAGTGACAATAGCGGGAGACGTAAAACGTAGTCATGGGTGACAGTAAGGTTACGTTTGTGACGTCATCGTGTTTTTGACGTCATAGTTAGAAACAATAGTGGTGGACGTGTATGCATTATGGTTTCAGTGCACAAATACATACTGAGTTACATTGAGAAAGTTACAAAATTATACTTTTGTATTAAGCTTAGGTTTAAACAGCCTTATGAACATTTGTTCTTTTTCCATCCGTAATTGTTTATCATTGTTAAACAATTGATAAAACGGAAAGATAGTAAACTGGCCATTCCCGCATTCATCAATGTGTTTGCTTACATTTATACATCGCACATTAGGATCTCGAATTTGTTGTCTGTGTACAGTGACTCGGTCCTTTAGTTGCATTCCAGTTTCTCCAATATAATACTCACCACATCCCGCACATGTTAAAACATATATAACATTTTTGCTGCGGCAGTTCATGTTGGTTTTGATAGTAAATAGTTTGTCTTCACAAAATGTAAATTTACAGTCTTCAGTTATGATTGAACAAGTTCCACATCGAGGTGTGTGACATTTTGTTACACTGACAGCGTTTGTATCTTGTGAATATTTAGATGGACAAAGGATTTGTTTTAGATTTTTAGGCTGCCTAGTGCTTCGTATAAATTTAGTCTTGGATAAACCTTTTTTCATAGTTTCACTTTTATACAAAATTGGAAGATTTGCTTTTATAATGGGCATAATTGTACAGTTATTAGGATTGTAGGTACAAACAAATGGAAGAATGTCCACCTCACCTCTGTTTCTTTGGTTTACTGTGTCTCTCTTTATGAACTGCATTTTCAACATACCCCACGTGGATATCCTTGTAGCTGAAGATACGTCTTCAATTCTTCTAATCTTGCACTTCTTGTGTCCACATCCGAAACAATAGTACATTCTGGTTTTATTTATCTATGTGATATATATATATATATTTATATGTGTGTGTGTGTGTGTGTGTGTGTGTGCGCGCGTGTGTATATATATCGTGGAGTAGCGAGCAAATAGCCAAAATAACGAGAAAATACTTAATATTCCAAGAACGTGACTGAATTAACGAGAAAATTTAGTTGAAGTAGTAATTAAGAAATTACCGCAAAACCGATGGCAATCATGTTCCAAAGTCAACAGCTTCGAGTTCCCCTCAAACGTAAAGTACATGTGCAACAATGATAAAACAGTTTTCCTGTAAACGCTTGTTGATGTTCGGAGTCGCCCTTACAGGAAAAGAAATGTTAGTGGTCAAGATACACGAGCGCCAAGTTCCTCGGAGCTTGATCTGTACAATGCATTTACATCATGCATGTACATGATAGATGTTTGTAAACGAACGAGGTGAACGTGACATGTAACTCCGCCTCTCTTTATTTATATTAGTATATTAAGGGTTTGCTCGTTGTTTAATCCAACACTCATCATGAGTATTTGAGCGTGTGAGTTTTAACTCATTAGAAAGTCATCACCTGAGTCAACATTTGTTTGTTTGTTATTAAACTCAGCAATTTTTCAGTTATTTGGCAGCGATCTGTAAATAATCGAGACATTCCAGTAACTGACATCATAAGCATAGCTCTATACAGCTGGGATACGATGACATGCATCAACTATGTTAACCAGTCTGACCACTCGATCCTGTTAGTCGCCTTATACGACAAGCATGGGTTTGCTTAAAATCCAATTACAGTATCTTAAGTGCTTTGGGATAGTATTGCATATTATTAATATTTCGAATTTGTCTCTCAGACTAAAAGAATGTTTCAATATTCGAGTACTGAAAGCCTAAAGCTCATCAAATCAGGTTTGTCTGTGTTTTTATCACGATTATAAATGTTTGTTTTTCATTTAGGTACACGGCATCGGTTGGTTCTGGAAAGGACTACTAGCGGTTTGTGTCTTTGTGACTCTCACTGGTAAGGACTTTATTTACAGAATATGAAAGTGTAAATATCTCATATATTTGTTGGCAGGTATTAATAAGTAGTAATCACTTTCAATCGGGTTAATGTATCTCTTTTCAAACAGATGCCGAGTGTCAATGTAACACCACTACTGCCTGTGCCGTGTTCCCCTCTACTCCCTGTAGCCAGGTCGGTGATCCAGACAGATGTCAGGAAGGATGGTTCGGTAACTACTGCCAGAAACGTGGGTGTGGGGTAGATTGGTAGATGTAGTATCACGTTAAGAAGCCGCCGATATTTGTGAGACGCATTATGTATATATATTTCAGAAAACACTGCTTTGCGGAGATCTTGTAACCAGAGTAGCACATTGTGGAATAATGCAGGCCGGCATGGAGCCGGAGTTGGTGTAGACGGCATTGTCACCACAGATGCCAGGAACGAGCCATGTGCCCATACAAATAATGAGTCAAATCCCACCTGGACTGTGAAACTGAACACTTCAGTTCCAGAGAAGATACAACACATCAGACTCTATATCCGTGAAATGCGTGAGTACACATGTTTCAAGAAGCTATTTAAAGGTGACAAAATTCGAAAAGTCTCTTGAACATCGTGAGATTGACAATTTCGTCTTTCAACTAACAACTTTAACTTGTACAGCTAAATTCGAAACTTATTAACTTAAAAGATATTAATGAGCCAGAATATTTATTATTGTATCGATTTGAGACAGATTTCTGGGGATGTTTTACTCACGAATGTTTACTTTTCAAGAGTCAAATGTTATATTCATCTAAACGGCATGGAGTAAGGTATAGCGTCATTAGAATAGTACAGGATGTTATGTCCCATTTGATGGAGTGATTGGTTTTACACGATTTGTTTTAGCAAAATTCCAGCAATCTCATGGTAGGGACACCAGAACTGAGCTTCACACACTGACTTAAATATAGGGAATAGAACCCGGGTCTTCAGCATGGCGATCACACGCTGTAACCATTAGGCTACCCCAACGCCTCTGTCCCATTTTAAAGATTGATTAAATTACAACAGTATTTATTAATGGCATAAAATAGTTTTCCACATTCTGTTTCAGATTGAAAGTTATCGTACACTGTAAAAACCAATCGTTTCACATCATACTATGTTGCGCGTGTAGTACGTGTTTGCGCTGCTACTGCAGATGTTGTCTCTCTATATTAAAGATGTAAGCAGCTTTCTTGCACTGATGGGTCTAAAAATAGCCAACTGCAGATATTGTTGGGTGCATTGTCATGTACTGTACTGACATTACATTATAACAGTATATATTAATAGCATAAAATAGGTGTGCGCTTTCAGTTTCAGACTGAAAGTTAAGAAACACGGGAAACTCAAACTTTTCACATCATACTATGTTGCACGTGCAGTACGTGTTTGCGCTGTTACTGCAAATGTTGTGTCGCCTCGTTACAGATGTCAGCAACTTTCTTCCAGTGATGGTGGTAAAAGTAGCAAACAGCAGATATTGTTGGGTACAGAGTATTCATTTTCACGTACCGTATTGGCATAGTGTAGATTATTTTTAGCTATTTTATAAATTTAAAAATTTATAGACTATAAATACTTTGTCCCTGTTTTGATCTGCAGAACGTTTTCTTCTTTTTAGCTAAACGGTTGAAAGGCCTTTGCCTACATGTTTTTTCTATTTTTCACTGGGGTTGTTATTTGGATAATTATGTTGGTTACAGTTCCCTGACTCAACTTTGTAGCATGGTAGGTCTATGCTTCTGAAAGAAACCCCCCGATTTTTAACGCTTTTTCAAAAGCCCTTCTCAATCAGAACCATACCCCTAAACATATAACTGAAATGTATAGTGATAACTTGTTATTAACTGGAATTTGTACACAATTTGATATTTCTACTAAGGATGGATGATATTGCAGCAGTTTGTAACTTATCTTGGAGGAGCAACAAGGAGGAATTCCGTTTTTGTCTTGTTCAGTATCTCTCCTGGTATTTCGTTGATCTTATATTGCTTTACAGGTAACACGGACAATGCGTTTCTTCATAATGTAATTTACTGTGTTTTATTTATCTAATTAAATTTCGAGTTAGACTATATCTCCAATGATGGAGGCGGACATCCCAGACCTTTTCAGATTCCTACAGAACGTAAATTGTTTGTAAACTGCATGTGTAAATAAGGAACCTTGGGTTGTTTGTTACATATCCGTGTTCATGGATTTCAGTGGCAAACGCCCAGACCAACATCACTGAAAAAGCTTTCCGGCTTTATGCAGTATTAAACTAGTTCTGGCCTTAATAATGTTTTAATCTTAATAATACTAGTACTAACAGTATTTTTGCATGTTTTATGACTTGATGAAATAATTAGACAATGATAAATAACGAAATCGACTGCATAACACAGGCATGCTCATGGTCTGACAAGCCTACATTTGATGGTGGACATTGCCCGAATGTATCCAATATCGTACATGCCAGATCTGACAGAATATTTAGTCCTAGCGGATTACACGGAAACCATATACTTTAAATAGATACAACTTCAGTTAACGATTTGTTTTATATATTATACTTAGAATGAAAGCGTGTACCGTTATAGAACTTTTAATAGTGAATAAGTTTTCGATACATTTTGTTTACCGTAAACACTGTATTAACCTTCTTGTGTTATTTCTACTTCATTCTGCATAGATATCGGATGTGATAATATTCATGAGCTTTTACACCAGCCTGTTATAACGATGTGTTTGTTTAAAGTACACACGCTCATGCATGCAATCATGATATATATACATGTGGTAAACAGCCCGTTCATTGAGTAATAGACGTGACTGCAAACATTCCGTGATTGCATTATGTCATATACGGTGGGCGTATGCTTTTTTACATTACATCAATGATCAAACAATCATCATAATGGATATACTGTGTCCAGTTCATAGAACTTAAATCATGTATGTTTCAGATAGATGAGTATACATGTTGACATATAGTAATATAGACGTGAACGGAGATCACAGTTAAAAAACAACATAGTTATAAAAACCATACAAGCCCGTTACTACAGCACGCTTGATCATACAGAAATCCATGCCAAGGTGTTTACTTCAACCAACCAATTCGGCAGTAGCCAATGTTGAAGAATATCGATGACAAAATTATGTCGAGTGTGTGTATGTGTGTGTATGCATGTAAGTGTGTATGTGTAAAAGTATGGTTGTTTATGTGTTGCTGGAGCGAAACCAAATGTGATTTCGAGCAAAAATACATGTCGAGTTAAGATACATTATTGCTGTAATTCATGGATATCGCTGCATAGATTTCATTAGATTGCTTAATCTTGTCCAAAAAGGCATAGGGGATAAGAGTTAATATTTGATCCGAATTGTCTTTCGTCATATGTTAGTGTTAATCACCAGTATCAAGTCACCGTACAACTGCATTATAAAGGAAGATTTGAATTGAATTCGTTTCACTTTATCGAGGTTCATATCCGGGCTTAGACAACAGAATTTGCCTCCAAGTGTGGAAACTGCCTCAGTGGTGTCATCTGTAACAAGACCACGGGAGCATGTCCTGGAGAATGTGCAGCATGATGGGTCAGTGGCGACTCGTGTATGGAAGGTTGGTACACACACTCTCGACCACAGTAAGATAAAGGTGACCACAAAACATATTGCTGGCTCCGTTTTAGGTTTATGGTATACAGTACAACCCAAGTTAGGAACCTTATCGACCATGTTGCAATCTCTTTGGCGGACTATTATACTTTCAGTTACCGTTTATGTGACTGAAAGTGAGGTGAGATGAGGTGAAATTGGGTTTAACGTCGTGTTGAGAATATTTCGCTCATATGACGACGTGCATGCGTGTGTATGTGTATGTGCGGCTGCTTGTACTAGCCCAGACTGAAGCTGGTTTTATAGTGCTAGCTCAATGAGATACCATGCCGCAGTGAAGCATGAATACCCCACTCAGACACATTATACTGACTCCGAGCCGACCAGTCTTTGTTGTACCCATTAATGCCGAGTGCCAGGCAGGGACAAACAACTACCATATTTTAACGTCTTTTGGTTTGACGCGGTCGGGGATCGAACCCGCGACCTTCCGTTCTCCGGGCGGACGCTCTAATCACTACACCACGGAGGCGGTCAGTACTGAAAGTAGGCAGAGCAAAATGTAAAACTTGATTTGAAATGATTATCAAGTTATCATTCTTTACAATCAGGACTGTTGAATCCAGTGAAAACCAAGCAAATAAGTTAGAATTACATTCTTTTTGGACAGTAATCCAATAATCTATATATCTGACAACATCCCCACACGGACTATCAGCATATAGTAGCTGATAACATTATATGCGACATTCTGCATGTAATGACGTAATGAAGTTGAGACGTAAAATATAAAACAATATAGAAATCCTGCTTAACACCGGTACAAAAATCTGTATCGAAACGTCGGACTCACGAAATATAAATTTTGTTATCCATAAAGTTTGTCCTACAAAATCCAAACCCTGACAGTGGTTGGTTATTTACAAAGTGAATCAGATTAGTGGTGATTAACTAATGTTATATTAAACTGTGTATACGTTCTTGGGTAGTATTTGGGTGAGTGTAGTCATTGCATATGGGCAAGGTTAATAGTAAATGTCCGTGTTTGTGCAGCGTGCCCAGATGGTTCATATGGTACCAACTGTGCCTTCGAGGGTGGATACTGTTTTGATGGCGTCAGCTGTAGTAGGACAAATGGAATATGTCCTGAAGGATGTGCTGCAGGATGGATTAATGACGGCACAATGTTATGTCAACAGCGTGAGTACTGATGGCTTTTTTGAAAGTGGCATTAGGATATTGCGGATATTGTCTTAAAGGCATCAATTATGACAAAAGAAACGGACCTGGAAAATGTGCTTAGGAATGGAAAATGACACATGTCTATGAAGTAAGTATAAATGTAAGTTGAGGGACATTTTGCACAATACGATTTCGTAATGTATCATGTTTATGTAACTGCAGCATGTCCAGATGGTTCCTATGGTATCAACTGTACCTACGATTGTGGAAACTGTCTGGGCGCAGACATCTGTGACAAAACAAACGGTGCCCGTCATTTAGGATGCGCAGCAGGATGGCGGAGTAACACAACATGTCTACAAGGTTGGTCTGTACGATTTGGGATTAAAGTAAAGCTTGCAATATGCTAAGTTATTACTCCATGTTTTCATTATGATTGTGTGTTCTCAGCATGTCCAAATGGTTCCTATGGTATCAACTGTGCCTCGCAATGTGGCAAATGTCTGGATGGTGTAAGCTGTGACAAGAGAAACGGTGCCTGCCCTGGAGGATGTGCAGCAGGATGGATTAATGACGGCACATGTCTACAGCGTGAGTAACTTTGTCGTATCGTATGACCCCATAAACTTTCAATATCCATACAGGTACGAAATCATCTCTTGCTGATAAAGTACAATTGAAACTGCATTTGTCTCCAGACGGTGGTTCTCCACACCCGTTGCAACCATCTGGCTATATAGTCTATATAATTCCCTTGCAATTTCATTGCATGAATTGATTTAATCTGATTGTGATAACTGTCCGTTGTTATTTTGGTGTTTGCTCTCCATATGCCATTACATATGTTGGCCCAAGGTACCCGGGTAAGAAATCACTCATGCTTGTCATAAGAGGCACTTAACGGAATCGGATGATCAGACTCGCTGATTTAGTCTATACATGTCCCAATTGCGTAGATCGATGTTCATGATGTCAATCTCTTGATCCTCTGGTCCAGACTCGATTATTTACATACCGCCGTCATATAGCTGGTATATTGCTGATAGCGTCTTTGAACAACAAACAAGATAGCAAACAAGAACAAAACTTGAATCGGATTACGATTAAAAGTCGTTGTTACTTTGGTATATTCCCCCTATCGAAATATGAAAAACTATCTTACAGTACCTTTGCTACCCTAGCTTGATTTACACCCTTCATGAGCTAGCGAGTGTGTACACATTTAGTCACACATTAAAATGGCAATTATACTATAATAAAAAAAATGTGATACATTAACATTAATTTCGAATACACACGATATGTGTGTGAACAGATGTCAAACGAATAGTGATTAACAAACAATAAACTATATCGGAAAACGCCCACCACCATCCCATTTCAACTTATGATAACGGCTTATAAGATTGACGTCATATTGGGTTAATCGACCCTGAAATATGTAATGATGAAAGTGCAGTTACAAAATACATGGACAAATTCAATCTTGGAAACAAAATATTTCCGTATATGTACACCGTGCATACATATAAATCAGTTTAACTGTAATTCTAGGTTGAGCAATACTTAGTTTGCAGTGACGGATGGTTTTCTGAAGATTGGGACAAACGGTGCCGGTGCCTTAACAGCAATGATGTATGTGACAAGTTCACTGGTCGCTGTTCTAGTGGATGTCTGCTTGGATATCATGATATAAACCTGAAGGCTGCTTCTCACTATAAATTAGACATGGCTTCTTTTCCCGGAATAACCACATTTGAGGTTGTTGTTTACTCCCAGGTTTTACTTTTCGTAAGTAAGACCTCTTCCCAGGTTTTATCTTTTCCTAACTCTATATTAACACCAACATTCAAATTCAGATGATATGTTAGTGTTTGAAATCAATTGAAAAATATCGTCAAAGATCAACTTAAATGTGCAAATGTTTTCCCTAGCAGGATTGGAACCGTATGTTTCAGATTCATAAGCGGACGCTCTACCTCACAGCCACCGGGCCGACAAAGAACGAGGGTTGAATTATCTATTTATAGTTAGGCCTACTGTCATTCAATTGATTTTACTAGCGCTTCAGTTACTGTTATGTAGCTTCATTACATGATCATCTAATTATCCATCATTGACGGATTATATGTATAATAAAGCACTCCTCCTCGGTTATGGTTGGGAAAGTAAGCCTTCGACCATTGGGTGGAGAGAAGTAACGCGACATAACCTCGATCTTACATTCATGTGTATCCCACCCTCCGGTCTCGGTCTTACTTTCCCCAACCATAACCTCGGATTTCTTTCAATGAACCAGAACTGAAACATGTTGCTTGAGGATAAAAACACAAAATCTATGCGCCTGAAATGTCTGTTCTGTCACAGGATGAATTTCTTTAGCGAACTGAACATGAAACTAAAATGGAATTCACACATGGTATCAATGTGAGTCAAACCCGAGCCTCTGGGTGACTGAGAACCCTTATCCACAAGGCCACCCACCACCCTGTTAGGGTTAACAGAATCACAGTGATGAGTTATTCAACATTTGATTATTGAACAGACCTGAGCTGATCTTGGTCTACTGGAGGTTGTGGTGGTGGTGGTTGGGATAACAACAGAATGATTGACCGTCACATACGACAAGTTGTTTTGTAGAAGCATTGACCAGTCTGTCCTCAGTCATCGACGGGAAAGCGAAGGAACGAAAGGACCAATGGAAGATTTCACAATTACTGAACAGGTTGAGACCAGTGTTTTCGTTTCTTTGTTTATTATTTTTAAGCCATACTTGGCATTGTGACAATCAACAATCGAAGGATCAACATCATGAGCATCAATCCTAAGCAGCATCAAGTCAGCAACCGCGTCAATAACACTGACCACCTGATCCTGTTAATCCGGACCGCCTCCGTGGTGTAGTGGATTGGCGTCCATGCCAGAGCCGCGAAAGGTTATTGGAGTTCGATCCCTGACAGCGTCATGCCAAAAGACTTGATAATGTGGTGGTACTTGTTGGTCCTGTCTGCGGCATTAATGGGTTCAGCAAGGACTGGTCGACTCGAGTCAGTATAATGTGTCGGTGAGTGGGGTATCTATGCTTTCTGCGGCATGGTATCTCAGTGGGCTAGCACTATAAAACCAGCTTCAGTCTGGGCGCAGTACAAGCAGCCGCACATTACACATACACCTGCATGCCTTGCGTCGTCATAAGAAGCGAAATATTCTCAAGCGCGACGTTAAACCAATTTCACCTCACCTCACCTCCTGTTGTAGTCACCTCTTCACGACGAAGCATGTGGGTTGCTGAAGACCAATACTAACCGGATCTTCGTAGATTCCCAAAACTGTTGGGATATTCGACACATACACCGAGAAGATATACAGCAGATTTAGACCTCGTTTGTATTGTTTAGTAGGTTCAATGAATGTATTTTGGACACAAAGGCGTTCGAGATCTTCCAGTGTTTCAAAATCACATGGCTATATTGTTTCCTCTCTACGAAGCAACATTCGGCTCTACATGCTACTTTATATCCATGTACTGCGGTGGCTGCCTCAACAGGATATTATTATTCTTGATATGCATGTTGGGAGTTGTGCCAACTAATTGTGTGTGCCCTTCTTCTATATGGATTCCTTTGTTAGATGGTGTGGTGAAATGGCGTTTAGCGTCGTGCCGAGAATGTTAAATCATGCTCATTAACGTCTCATGGCATCATATCATATTATTGACTTTCTGTCAATACTAGCCCGAACTTAAGCTGGTTTTAAATTACTTCGCTCTGAAGATGCCGTATTGTATTGTTCCCTTTATTGGGAATTATTTACATCTGACTTACTTTATTGATGCGGCGGCCTAAAGATTTTTACCGGTCATGAGACCAAATTTTGCGGTCATGTCCTATTACGTGCTGCTGAAATTGCTCATTTTTAAAGTTATTTTTGTACTAGGTGTTTCCGAAATATTACAATTTTTGCGACCGCGGAAGCCTTACAACCAAGGCTTCCGTTTTGCGATTCACGAAACAAATTTTACCAGCGATTTTCAGGTATATACGAGGAGAGCGGAAACACTACCATGCCATGGTTAGCATGAATATCCTCGAACACATTAAACTGACTCGAGCTTTGACCAGTCCTTGTTGTACCCATTAATGCGGCGCCAGGCAGTGCAACAAGTAAGTACCATATGTTTAGCATCTTTTGGTAGATGTGGCCAGGATCAAACCTGCGACTTTCAGTACTCTGGGCGAACACTTTAACCCACTACACCACCTAGGTTGTCCCTTTTGTTAGAAGGTGTTGTCCTGTCATTGATACACCTTTCACTGGGGCACCCGGTCCAGTTTAACAAAGGAAACTATGGAGACGAGACCAAAACTTGGAGGTTCAAGACTACAGACCAATGTGACAGGTCAAATTATGTTTTCCTAGGTGATCACTTTTCCAAATCAGTCCATCTTGAACATACAATTGTCTGTAATGTATATTATATTTTATCATTTTTACTTCATCTTCTGCATCATTACAAAATAACCCAAATTATATCCCAACAAGAAAACAAAAAGCACCTGTAGAGACATGAATAGTTAAAGACAATAAAAAGTTGAAGTGACCAATCAAAAGCATTGTGACTTATACCTGATGTTGTTCTGACCAATCAGCATCCTGTTTATATCCAGCTCTAGTATCCTGGGAGTGTTGTACAGACTTAGAGGGTCAGCAGACACATGTTTAGCATGAGATGAGGAAAACTGAAACATCAATTTACGGTATTTATCAGAAAAATGGTGATGGTGTAAATGTGGTTTTGAACAGGGCAAATTGCATGTTATAGGCAGGTGATGTGAAATGGAGGTTGTTCTGTCATGTTGGAAAGGTGAGGTGAGGTGAAATTGGGTTTAACGTCGTGCTTGAGAATATTTCGCTCATATGACGACGTGCATGCGTGTGTATGTGTATGTGCGGCTGCTTGTAGTAGCCCAGACTGAAGCTGGTTTTATAGTGCTAGCCCACTGAGATACCATGCCGCAGTGAAGCATGAATACCCCACTCAGACACATTATACTGACTCCGAGCCGACCAGTCCTTGTTGTACCCATTAATGCCGAGCGCCAGGCAGGGACCAACAAGTACCATATTTTAACGTCTTTTGGTATGACGCGGTCGGGGATCGAACCCGCGACCTTCCACTCTCCGGGCGGACGCTCTAACCACTACACCACGGAGGCGGTCCGACTAACAGGATCAGGTGGTCAGTGTTGCGGAGGTGGTCTTGTTGGAAAGGTATATGCTGAGACTTAGGTTTAACACTGCTTATAGCGATATTCCAGTGGAATTCATGGCGGTGGACCCCACAAAAATGGGCTTCACACATTGTACAGTCTACACATGTGGGGAATCAAACTCAGGTCTTCAGCGTGACGAGTGAACACTTTAACCACTAGGCTACCCTACCAGAACTAATCAGAACTATACGTCTGCTTCTTTGATGTCTCCAGACAACGTCACCGTTTTGTCAACTTCTTATATTGTTCATTTTTGGCTGTTGATGTTGATTTCGTAAGTTCGAGTTCAATTTGGTGCACAGAACATGTTTAGTCTCAAATGCAGGAGTACAATTTGTGAAATGAAGTAGCAAATTCAACAGTGTGCTGTTCTTAGTGTCCTTGTCTGATGAAGGCAAGTACTTACACTCCAGGTTTGTCGAGGAGCTTGCCCCATCCACGACATGGACGCCCCCGCCACCCCTCCACTGTCTCCCTCCAGGGGGCGCAGTGGTTCCGGGTGTGAGGTGGTCGATGCTGAACTGATCTGGAAAAAATGGAACATTTGTGAATTTTACACAGAAGCAATTCAGCAACATTCAACATCAAGGATGAGTGAGTGAGTGAATATGTTTTTATGCTGTTTTTAGCAATATTCCAGCAATATCACAGCGGGGCACCCCAGAAATGTGCTTCACACAATGTACCCACGTGGGGAATCAAACCCGGGTCTTCGATATGACGTACATCAAGGATGAACTTTAAGGTACTTAGGTAATTATTCTGATGTTACACAATAGTAACTAGGGTAACACAGATTAATTATCCATGTCCTTAGTTTCTTACACTGCTTCCAATTTGGTTCACTTCAAAACCTATGGTATGAATACATGTATCACACCTTAACCACAAAGATATGAACATCACAACATTATTGTAAGATATGTATGATATAACTTTAATCTGGAGATATGTATGATATTAGAGTTTTCTTACGATGGAGATGTGTATGATATCACAACATCCTATGGAGTGAGTGAGTGAGTTTTGCTTTACGCCGCTTTTAGCAATATTCCAGCAATATCACGGCGGCGGACACCAGAAATGGGCTTCACACATTGTACCCATGTAGGGATTCAAACCCGGGTCATGGCATGACGAGCGGACGCTTTAACCACTAGGCTACCCCACCGCCCCAACATCCTATGATGATATGAAAGATATCATATCATATCACAACCTCACTAGGAAGATACTTTGGTTTGAAGAAATGTATATCATAACAACATCACCATCAAAATACACATATATTTTATTTGCTGTTTAACGCCGCACTAAGCAATATTCCATCTATATGGCAGCGGTTTGTAAATAATCGAGTCTTGACCAGACAATCCAGTGATCAACAGCATGAGCATCTACCCGACTGGGCTACGGTAACATGTGTCAACCAAGTCAGCGAGTCTGACCACCAATCTCACTAGCTGACTCTTACGACAAGCATGGGTTGCTGAAGACCAAATCTGACCCAGATCTTCATGGGTTGCCTCTTATGACAAGCATGGGTTGCTGAAGACCAATTCTCATCGGAATCTTGACAGGTTCTCAATATGTGTACACAGCACCATGTTAGGGAGCAAGGATTGTAAGTTCATCTATGAAAGGTCATCTCACCTTGTGGTATGCCCGACTGCCATCAAGGGGTCTGATGTGGGAGGAGGGGGTTGGAGCAGGAGCCATGGAACTGACCGTCTCACGGATGGGGGAGGCTCGAAGGGGTCGGCCTGGACGGGACAACTTCCCAACATACTTCTGCTTCATCTCTCTGTCGGGGAAGATAGACAAGATTCTACAACTACCATCACCATTATTCTACCAGCATGTGACCAACAGATCCAGGTGCAGCTAGGATGCAATTATGATTATCAAGGGATGCAACTATGATTATCAAGGGATGCAACTATGATTATCAAGGGATGCAACTATGATTATCAAGGGATGCAACTATGATTATCAAGGGATGCAACTATGTTCAGTAAATTGCATGAATCTAGCCCAGAGGGCCACTCATGTTCCCCAATAAGTTACCACTTTCAAATCCTATTCCATTTAAGTCCTTTCAAGACATTGATCACATCAAAAGAAAAACTGTGCTTTCTTAGAAATATATGATAATTCTACATAATGTCCTTATGCAAAATTGGAGACAAACATCATATCATAATGATTTAACAATGTAAGTACAAACTCAAAGGAATTCTGACAATGCTTAAGATCATTGGTTTTTACATTTATGCCTGGATGCAATTCAAGGGCTAAAATAATGTCCATCCAAACACATAAATAACAATATAGGAGTAAAGGGGTCAAGATCACTGCCTGAGAGTGAGTAAGGTTTAATGCTGTAATAGGAGCCTAGCGCTTGATGCAAGACTCGAAGTCGCTGAACACTTACCCGATGCGGGTATCGGACGACTGACGATTCCCTAGGGTGAGCCTATCATAGAGCGACATCCGGCCGTGACTGGAAATCCAGATTTCGGATTAATCATACGCCCTTACATCTCTGCCCTCAAGATGGCGGAGCATGCAAGAAGCGTGACATCGTCCTGTCTCCCCGGCCACGAAGTCCGCATGGGCCTAGGCTTCTACATATGTGACTACAAAGGTAGGTACTTCGTCACGTCAGCCCACCGCAACTACCTAACCTACCCCACCCACTATGAAACTTACTAAACTTTTATACGAGGCCTCGAGGCATGCCATACTGCCATATCACAGTGACAGGGGATTGGTATGGTTTTTAGCAATATTCAGCTGAAGATATCACGTTGTAGGACAATAAGAAATGGGCTTCACACATTGTACCCATGTTGAGAAACAAACCAGGGCCCTTGGCGTGACGAGCGAACACTTTGACCACTAGGCTACCCCACCGACCCTCACTACCTGTGGAATAGTGCAGGCATGATAATAGAATTGTTGTGCGACATCAAGCAACGAAAACTTAATGTTTAATATAAATTGTATGAGTGAGTGAGTGAGTTTAGTTTTACGCCGCACTCAGCAATATTCCAGCTATATGGCGGCGGTCTGTAAATAATCGAATCTGGACCAGACAATCCAGTGATCAACACCATGATCATCGATTTGCGAAATTGGGAACTGATGACATGTGTCAACTAAGCCAGTGAGCCTGACCACCCGATCCCGTTAGGTGCCTCTTACGACAAGTGTGGGTAACTCACAGTTCATTCAAACCTGGACCTTCACGGGTTATGAATTGTATGAGCATCCATTGCTACCATTACGGAATGACAAGCTTACTCTTTTCATAAACACCTGGTTTCATCAATGGCATTCAATGATCCATTCATATACTGACAGTTTGTCTTTAAAGCCAAATGGAATCTGTTGAGGCAGATACTTCACATGTTTTATATTTACCTCCCCCTGAAAGAGTACATGGGTTTGATGAGGAAGAGTCCGGACTCCTGTTCAATGGAGTCCAGCGTCTCCATCAACATGTTGGCCAGCTTCAGTCTTTCCGCACCCATGTCGTCCATGTGCTCCGCCCACTTTCTCGTTCGCTGGAACACAAGCGTGTCATTGTCACCGGATAGATAATATAACTGCACATAATCTTGTCCACAGCATAATTGTTGCTAACTTACTTACACTGACAGACAGAAATAAGGGCAGATAATTCTGTCGATAGTATCATTTTAATCCACACCTTTCATAAACGCAAAAACAGATCAGACACAACAATGACCCTACAGTGAGTGAATGAGTTTAGTTTTACTACGCCGACTTAGCAATATTCCATCTATATGGCAGCGGTCTGGAAATAATCGAGTCTGGACCAGACAGTCCAGTGATCAACAGCAGGATCGCAATCGATCTGCGCAATTGGGACCGATAGCGTGTCAACCAAGTCAGAAGAGCCTGACCACCCGGATCCCGTTAGCTCACCTCTTCACGACAAGCATGGGTTACTGAAGATCAATATTCTAACCCGGACCTTCACGGGTCCTGACCCTTCAGAGATCTATGTTCTACATAAAGGCCATATAAAGATCCTTCTTCTTTGAACCCAGTGACCAACTTTTGGACCAGTGAGTGGTCTTTGTAAACATTATTACAGAGGAGCAGGATCATACCTCATTTTGAAGAGCCTCCATCTTGTCCAGCACTTCGAAAACATTTTCATTTAGGCTCTCACTCTTCTTTACATTCTCTGAAATAAACAAAATCATTGATGGTGACCACAATAATTTATTTATTTCTTCTGATTATCATTATGCTTCATACTATGTAGCAGAGAGGGTTTGGGTGATCCTGGCTCAGTCAGGCTGGTAATGCTCACCTTCAGTGTGCCTAGTTGAACCCACAAAAATCTTCCTGGAGAATATGGAAACTCGCAAAAAATGCAGCCTTCTGCATTACCCAGAGTGTCAGAAGGGCTGTGCTCCCAGTGGAGAACCCGGGCACTCAAACCCGGGTACCAAACCCAAGGGCATTGAGAAAAATGGTGAGCTTGACGACAGTGTACTTGGGATGCAAGCGAGACCTTTCAAAGGCGAGGCCCTCATACTTATCATGCTTATCTAGAACATTGTCAATCACATTGCTCTCAAAAGGTAGAGAAAATTCAAAGAAATTCATTGACTTTATCAAAAAGGACAAGATCAGGGTTACTGGCGCAGGCCATTTCTAAGGCTGTATGGCCCTATTCGAAGAAGTGTGAAAGCATGATTTCCCATGATGCCCTGGACATGTTCAGGGGGTCGTACCATGGCTGGACCACAAGGTAAAGCCACAGACATGGCACAGGCGGTAATAAAAGCAACTAGCCATGCCATCATGTCCTGCCCCACAACAAAGCCCATGTGATACATGTGGTCTCACCTTAGGCAATTGAGTTTGTTCAAACTTGCCTCTGGGACCCAGCTGAAAATGGGTACCCGGTGGGATAAGTCATGTGCCTATTAACCTTCTAGCACCTCACAGGCAGCTTGGGTTAACCGGGGTAATAATAATCAGATTGCATCGCTTTGAGCGTGCCCTTCCGTGGTGCGGAATTCAGCGCATTACAAATGACCTTATTATTATTATTATTATTATTAAGATATGATTATTGTTGTTGTAGTCGTTGCTGCTGGTCTCACCTTCTATGGCCTTCATGCGACAATGGTGTATGTACTTCCTGGCTAGGTGGGCGAGTCTCTGGGCCGGCAGACTCACGTACTGGCTCATCTGACCCACTGCATCCTGCACATCAGAGTGAGAGAGTGAGTGAGTTTAGTTTTACGCCAGTGTTAGCAATATTCTACCTTTTATCTAAAGAGTTTTTAAATGGTATCTAACATGGGAAGTATTGTTAGGTTTCTGCTATATTAAAGGCACATGCATATCAAACATCAAACCTATTTTGAAGGTCATAATACATCCACACAATACAACCAAAAAATTCACAAATATATTTAATCTCAATCAGACAGAATGTTAGGAATACTGTGTCGTCATTTGCAACAACTTAAAGCATAGCCTTGATCTTGACCTTTTAGCGGTTATTCTTCAAATTTGACCTTGGTGCGACCTTTGTCATGTATTGATATTAATTGTATTTCACTAACAGATCCGAAATTTACACAAAATAGTTTCGTTGTAAATGCCTGGCTCACTTTTGTAAGGAACCAAGTGCGTCAGCAGCATGGTATGAACTGAGGCCCAATAAAGATGGGAGACACATCTGAACGTTATCCCTGACCTCTCTCAGTTACCTTGACCTTCCTCGGCAACCTTGACCTCAAGGCTGACAACCTCACCTTGTATCTCTCGGCTCCAAGTCTGTCGTCCAATACAGCTTTCTTCATTATCTTGGCGTTCCTCTCGGAGTCAAGTCTTGTGAACATCACGGATGTTTCTGGAGATGGTATCTGTTGTCTCTGTCAGACATAAATGCTCACTTAAGAATATACTTTAACTTGCAGAGGTACGGATAAGCTCGCGTATCTCTGCGTAAATACATTTACGTAATGAAAACTCAATTTCTATTAAGTCCATTGAGTACAAGTACACTTGAATTTTTGTAAATACTCAATAAATGTGATCTAACATACACACTAAAAAATGTCAAATCTTACCAGTGGATAGATAACATAACTGAGGTATACTGAGAGGTTCTATTTCAGGACATGAACATGACAACTTGCAGGCTTTCTTATCGTTTCTCATATCACAGATCAAATATAAATAACAAACACTAACATTTAAACTTTATTATATTTTCAAAATTAATGGAAAATTGCAAAATACGCAATTGAGTTTGAGTGAGGTGAGTACAATTTATTGGGTTACTCAAAGGAAAATTAGGATACCAAAATTGAGATGAACAGAAGTGAGTGATGTAAACTCAATAACCCAAAACCTTTTCTGTAGCTCTTGTTTTGGTTTTATGTAAGTACACTGTGTAAATGTATGTATGTGTGCACACATTTGTATTCTTCTTTTGTGCCTCCATAATGTGAAAAACGTATTAAAGTCAGTTCTCGTGAATAAGTATGTTGAAGATACTTCACAGGCTGCTGACTACATCATGAACAAGAAAACCAATGAGTGAATTTAATATTACGCCCCCTTAGCAATATTCCAGCAATATCGAGGTGGGGGACACTTGAAATATGCTTCACATATTGTACCAATGTGGGGATTCAAACCTGGGCCTTCGATTGTAAGGAGGCGACCCGATTCAACCATAACTCTTTTTCCACCACCCACAAAAACCTAAATCAACAACAACATGAAACAAGAGACAAAGAGACAATCCACACTCAAACTGAACCATTTTATTATAAGGCAATCAGAAAATATTACCCCAGTTTTTCTGTTCTGGTTTATGGAAACATTTACACAAACAAAATGGCTTGGTCAGCTGAAGAGATCCCATGTAATCACTAGCAATTTAGTTCTTAAATCAGAGATACATAGCCAGAAATATCAATACGTTTAATCACTGCAGGGACAACATAATTGTGCACTGAGAAACGGGATCCTCCTGAGGTGCTGGTAAAATCTTCCTCATCATCCTCAAACCGAATGATGCATACTCTGTTTGCAGTGAAAACATACTGATGAATTTCATTTTAAACAAAAAAGTAAATCAAATAAAGTGAAATTAAGATTGCAATTCCTCATAATTTTACCTTGCCAATTGTTGGTTTGTATTACAAGGAGGTACGCACAATAAATGAAACACTGTGAAAAAGCAGGGTTGGTTTAAGTTAATGCTAATCACCTACCGCACGTGCATTTGTTTCACTGTTCAACTACTGCTCATATACCCTTGTAATAGAAATCAATAATAGTGATTTGAATCTATGATCATTTGTTAAACAACTATTATCCTAAGTTGAATAAAATTCTGAGATTTAAATGCTCATTTGGCAAGGTAAAATTATGAGGTTCGTAATCTTATTTTCACTTTATTTGATTCACTTTTTAGTTTAAAGTGAAATTCATCGGTACGTTTTCACAGCAAACAGACTATAAATGTTGTTAAATGTCCACATATCTTCAGCAGTATTCCGATGGCCTTAAAATAACCAAGTCCATTCATTACTGATGTCCAGTACAATAGCTATAGCACACTGGGGTGGATCTGCAGGTAATCTTGTACATGTACAGAAACACCACTCCTTTAAATGCAAATAATTGGAAATCATAAAGTAGAGGATGAAATGAAATCCGAACTTTAGCATCCATGGCAAGATATGAAAGTACTCATGGCAACCAAAGTCTGCTGAGTCGATGAGCTTTACCATTATCTGTCAGCCTGGACAAAGCTTTCTGCCGTTACCAGACGTGAAGATGCCGGGTCAGACAATTGGATCTTCAGCAACCCATGCTTGTTGTAAGAGGCAACTAACAGGATTGAGTGGTTCTAGTTTGCTGACTTGGTCCAAAACATATAATCATATCCCAGTTGTTTTGATCGATGCTCATAAGGAGTGATCACTGGATTATCTGGTCCAGACTCGAGTTATATACAGACCTTTACCTTATAACTGGAATATTTATTTGAGAGTGGCGCTATACAACAAACCAAAACCAGCCGGCCAAGTGAAAACCGGTGCAAGACAACTCCGCTTAAATTCGAAGCCAGAGTGAAACCTGCATCTTGGCCAGAAACCCTCCTGTGGATCGGTTATATCACTAAAATGGTAGCCGAACAGCATTTGGCTTCCAACAAAGCAAACTTAAGCTCTAATTACCCTGTGCAGAGAACTGGGGAAGGCTTTAATTCCGATCTTTGCTTTGACCCGCCGGCGTGGCATAACTCTGAAGAGTCATTGATGGTGTCCTGCATCTCCATCACTTGACTACTGTGGTGGTAGTGTCTGAGAGTACGGAGTAGCACATGATGATACTGAAGTGTCGCACAGTTAACACAACCATGATCATACTGCAGTATCGGCGAAAAACACATGCAAGGGCAACATTGTGCAAACAACAAAGATCAATCATTGTCACACAAGAACAAGAAGAAGACAAAGTCATCAATATCTCCTACAATGGCAAAATACTCTTTATGAAAATGCTCCACCAGTTATGATTGGCGTCAAATGTCTTTTGGTGCGTACATGGCAAAGTGGAAGGAAAGTATTGAAAAGCTTTTAAGTTCTGGCTCCAGAGGTAGAGGTGAAATTGGCTCTTTAACGCCGCTACTGGAGAATATTTCCGCCATGATGATCGCATACGCAGTAGAGCGCTGCATGCAGTGGCTACTTGTACTACTGGCCCAGACTTAAGCTGGTTTTATAGTGCTAGCCCACTGAGATACCATGCCGCGAGTGAAGCATGAATAATTCCACTCAGACACATTATACTGACTCCTTGAAGCCGATTCAGTCCTTGTTGTACCCATTAATGCCGAGCTTGGGCAGGGACCAACAAGTACCATATTTTAACCGCCTTTGGTATGACGGGTTAGATCGAACCGCCGACCTTCCGGCCTCCTGGCGACGCCTAACCACTACACTACTCGCCCAGCGGTTTACACTACCACCAAATTCAGTCGAAGCCAAATCGCCGGAAACACAAAATATATTTTTGTTGAAATTCCCAAAACTACCAAAAGGCACCAGTACACGACCGAACCTATCTATGTGCAGAAGTTTGGTGAAAGGAATAGTGAACGGTTTTAAAGTTCTGTTCGGGAAAAGGGCACAACCAATTTCAATTTCAGTCAGAAGTCAAAAGAGATGTTGCCATGGAAACACAAAAACATTATTTTAGTCTCTAGAATTGCAAAACTACCAAAAGGCACCGAGTACACCTTGTGACCTATCTATATGCCAAGTTTGGTGAAGAAATAGTGAACGGTTTTGAAGTTCCGTTCCAGAAAAGACAAAAGATGCAAAAGTGCGCAGGACGGGACCTACGCACACGGGCATTCGAACACACTGCCTTGCGCGTGCATATAACAAGCATACCACAAAACTAGTTGCATGGATTGATAATGTCCACACCAATAACAACTAATATCACATAACAAGAACAACTGTCACATTACGAACAACTTATGTCACCTTAAGAAGAACAACCAATGTCACATTTAGAAGAACAGCCGCGTCACATTAGACGCGGATAAGTTGATGATAGGATCACAATGATGTCCAAAAAGACGTAAGATGTCGCATATGGGATGAC